TCTCAGTTAACATAAGAAAAAGAGGATCATGGGGAACCAATGGTCACCGATTAGGCATTGTTTGTTATATAGAGGGCGCAAGTAGCTACCAGTAGTGCAGTGGGCCTTTAAGATTTCCACATTCAAGAGTGGATTTCACTATTTGAAGATATCCATTCAAAAATTAATTTTTGCTGACTCTGATCCCATGATTACTCTAAATGATCGAGTTATTGTCATGAATGTCTAAATTATGTTCCTATGTGTATTTTTCTTTGATAGTCTGATTTGGATTTGGATTTTATGTTCATTCATTTTGTTTAGTTTGTATATTTCATTTTCTGTGATTGTATTGTTTGGTTATGTTAAATTGTAACATAATTTTGATAGTCTGATTTGGATTTGGATTTTATGTTCATTCATTTTGTTTAGTTTGTATATTTCATTTTCTGCGATTGTATTGTTTGGTTATGTTAAATTGTAACATAATTTGAAAGAGGATGCCATTTAAGACACACTTCTGCAAAGATTCCCCCCCCCCCCCAAAAAAAAAAAAAAAAAAAAAAAAATGTGTTTGAAGAAAACTTGATAAAATAATACATAATTTGGGTTTTCTGTTGTACGCAGAAAACCTTAATTTTGTATTCTTTCATCAAAATTCGACTTCAAACACATTTGTTGAAAACAATCTTTGCAGAAATGTGTCTTTCACATTATGATACATAGCCTATTAAGTGATATTTTTTCCATCAAAGTTTTGGGGCTCCCAACACTTTAGAGGGGCTTTAATGTGAGTGAACCCCTTATAAAAAACAGCTCTCGTACTGATTAGGGTGGTCCACCCTACAAGTGGTACATACATAAATAGATAAATAAATGAATGAATAAAATAAATGTTGTATTGAACGGGGCTAAACCGGTCTACCTCTTGCAATTCATTGGTTCCACTTACTAAATGTGTAATTGCATTATGCTGAAATACAATGTAACTTGAATTTTTGATAATAAATCAATGAAATCACAAGAAAGTGATCCAGAAGAGACTCTCTAAAGAATGGATGTTTACTGTATTCCTATACGTACTAGAGTAAATTTGTCTCGATTGAATTGAATATAATGTATTCTATATAATTAGTAGCGCATTTGAGGTCAGTTGGCCTATTTTAGAGACAAAACCTGACAATCTGTGATTCGATCTATATAGTTGCGTATATTGAAAGGCTCGCGCTACGTACCGTGAATACAAAAGTATTGTTATGACATAATCATCGCTAAGTTAGTACCCGGTTTAGTATCCTTAGGAAGTGTGTTTATTCTTCTTTATACGTGTAATTCCACTCCAATTGTTATGATTTTCAGTCATGATATTTGCATTACATAAAAAAGGGGCAAGTATGGTCAAAAGTGAAAAGTTGCTAAACATGCTGCTCTTGCTTGGCTGTGCCGATTCTTCTTCATTGAAGAGTGTTGGACTGCTGTGGAGTGCATTGCATAATAATTAATACCAGTGCTTACCAGCACATTTTGCAACTTTTCACCTTTGACTCTGCCCCTTATTCCATGGCTACAAAATCAGAACAAATTATATTATCATTTGATGAAGAGAAATAAACGGACTTTCTAATGAAACAAAACTGAGCAATGATCACACATGACAAGACAGATATGATCGATCAAACTTGAGTTTCAAAAAAAAATTGAGGGGTTTAGTAACGTGCTGTTACACGCCTTTTCATACAGATAAGTATAGGACATGTTTAGGTGTATGTTACATAATTATGTAGTGGGACATTATACTCTCTTCCTCATTTTAATAAATAAACTGGTCGCAATAAATAAAGTCTTCATAAAAAGTTTGGAAACTGAAGTGGATCAATGTCTTGTCAAAAGACGTGAATACTGGGCTGGGATTCGAACCCGCCCCCCCCCCACTCAGTATCATTTAGGGTACGCATATGCGTGTTCCCTCTTTTTGAAAACACCACCCAAGTCCGGTGTGTAAAGTCTTTTTTGTGTATGTACGACTTTGGTGCGTGAAAAGTACCCCTTTACCGGACATTTTGGTAACACGCATGCGGTCATTCCGACCCAGGAGTGGGGGGGGGGGGGGGGATTTGAACCCTCAACCCTTGGATGGAGAATCAAGTGAATGAACCACTATACTACGACACCTCGAAACATATGCACTATAAAAGCTAGACTCCATTACTATTATTATTATTTTTTGTGATTTGATGATGTGGTTGGGGTGTGTGTTTGCAGCAGGAATTAGGTACCAGCAAAAATTTGTCCGCGAGAATCATGTGGTCTCTAATAAAATTATCAGCTTTCTAGCTTTCAACATCGTATTTCCAAACTTACCATTATGCAAATTTCTACCCCCACATTGATTTTATTTTCTTACCTTCAACCGTATACAAATAATTCATGTTTGCGTCAGTGCATCAAGACAGTGTATTAGTGAATATGCACTAGCTGCACACAGGTTAATTCACAGTAGGATAAAGAACGAGACTTGTCGAGTTCATTGTTCGTCTGATTGTGACTACTAACGAGCTTGTATCATGTATCATTTGTTTCATAAGATGGGTCTACAATACGAGTCTAAAGCCAAGAAAATGACGGTTGTCATCACCAAAATACATTCCCTGTTCATATGTTAACAATTAATACACGCACGAGTGATCCATTTCAACGCTTCCCATAGAGTACCCGAAGCTGTGACGTCATAAAAATCTATTTTTAGAATTTCTCAATTTTTTCTTCATATTCCGAAAGAACATGAAAAATAATGTCCAAATGTCGAAAATCAATTGAATATGTTAAGTATTGGCTGATATATGACCATCTGAATGAATATATGTCCTATGGGAACTCAGTGTTATATGCTCTGGCTCCTAACCATTAGGAGCCAGAGCATATATATTCCTATGGGGAGTATATTTATTTAGATGGTCATATCTCAGCCAATACTTAACATATTCAATTGATTTTCGACATTTGGACATTATTTTTCATGTTCTTTCGGAATATGAAGAAAAAATTGAGAAATTCTAAAAATAGATTTTTGATGACGTCACACTTCACCATTCTATTGGCCACCTTCTTGAACCCATTTTATAAAATACAATACACCAAGGAACAGGACGCATATTCACTTTTATAACCATATATATTTTAATAACAATACCATAACATTATAATCATATTTCATATATATATAGAACTCTTTGAGGAATAGTAATACAAATAAGTTGACTTTAATTACCCAACCATACAAACATGATCAACAAGGAGGGATCAAAATATTATAAATCTACCTTATGAACTATCTCTATCTCTGAATTTTCCTACGCCAACACAACCATTCTCGAAAAAATAAACTCGAGGGTAATTTCAATGCCACATTGTATACTACTACCCCTGAACTTGCCTTAGCTTGAATTTTGCGAAAGTACTTGCCATTGTGTTTAGTCCACTTTTTCATCATTTATTCATGAAAAAAATTACAGAAATTTAAAAAGGAAGGGTTCTGTTAGACAGATTCTGGCGACAATTGCTCTGCTAAATGAATTCCCAAATCCAACCCTGGACCAAACACTAGACCTAATTCTAACCCTAATGGTAAACCTAACCTAAAACCCAATTGCAACCCTGACCGTAAACCTGTATCTTTGACAAAATCGAGCCCTTAGCAATTGTCGACAAAGCATATATCATATAATCCAGGGATCTGTTTCACAAAGCCTTTTTTCAATGAAAAATGACAAAATTCAGTGACAAATCTGCTGATAACCAATCAGAAGCAAGGATTTCAGTAGCTTATAACAAAAACTGTCATTTGTCACCGATGACAAGTTTTGTGAAATGGAGCCCAGGTTACTTCTTCATATGGAGAATGTACTATCAGTATAAGTGATAAATACACAATTCCCAATTATGCATAATGAATCCATTTTCCCTTGATTAATACATATCAAACCTTCCAACCTTTCTCCCCTCCACCTCTTCTTCCATTTCCTTATTCCCGACTTATTCTCAATATTCAATTGCTTTGTCAAGTCTCAATTGAATTTAAACTGAACTTCTTATTTTTGAGACACTGGAATGTAATATCCTACACATAAAATTGCATAACATCAGGATCAATACAGGCAGTTCCTATTGGATAGTGTACACATATACAGAGGAGGCCAAAATACATATACACCCTAAAATATGTGTACCGGTATGCAATAGCTTTAAATTATAACGTGCATGTATGTATATGTAATCTTTAAGCAATACATAACTGGTGAATTTTTCTGCCCTAGGTTACCTTTAATTGCACAGCGCCATCTCATGGTCAACGTGCAGACAGTGCGTAACTCATGACTTAATTTTCACGTCACAGAGGTCTCGATGCGAGAACCAACAGCGCAGCTAGGGAAGCAGTGAGTTACAGAATCATACTGCTATAGCTGACCTGAGATGGCACTAGAGGGGACTTGCAGTCTAGTACTTCTAGTACAGTATGACTTTAACCCTTTGTGTGTCATGGGTGCCATAGAAAGTTGCGCAAAGAGTATGCGTGCACATTCTTTAATTTAAAAAAATCCTTAATCTGCCACTGAGTGCTATCAGCTTAGCCTTTCTCGCTCTCTTGAACACCTGACCAGTATCATGCTGGCCTCGTCAGTTTTTTTATAATGGTAATGATTCCAAATTTCAAAAGATTTTGGGTCATGTTCTACTCAAATTTAAACCAGAGGCTGACGTGAGACCCTGAATTAGTGGAATACAGACCCTTTGTCTGCACCCATTAATACAATAATATAGTTACAATAATATAGTTACAGCACTTATTGCAAAATGCAAACATTTTCAAAAGCTAAACATACTGTACTAGGAGAAAGAGACATTGCATGTAAATTATGAATGAATATAAATGGAAACAGAAAATCATCAGAGATTTTGTTCAAGAAGCACCTCTAGCACATAAAAAACTAAAACAAAATTGTAACAATACATATCTTTAAAGATTTTTTTTTTGGGGGGTGGGGTCCTACTTATTCTCTCACTGTATTCATCACTGATATTTAAATAAATTCTCATCAATGTTAAGAAAAGTGATCATTTAAATAATCTAGCTTATACCCCTACTGACAAAGGATTTGCAAGACACACATGAACGACATAAACAGGAAAGAAAAAAAAGCCTTTTGAGATTTAAACTAATCCTCTCAAAATCTGATTATCATATTCTTCAAGTACTGATCCTATCTTACAGACTTCAATGTCCTTTTAGAATTCAACAAAATGATATTTTATTTTTATAATACGGATATCTAATATCTATCTATACACGAAACTGACAGATGTTCAACTATATATGGAAATATAAAGAACATGTACTATTATTGCCCCAATTTGTACAATACATATTTTTCACAGTTTAAACAAACAGCATTGTCTCATTATAATTAATATATTGGTTATTTTGTACAAGTGAATCTGTTATTGGCAGAACTGCCAACATCAAAAATTAGACCACCACATATATTACAGGACTGAACTTTTCATGGAGTTTTCCGACTTTAATTCTCAATGAGAAGCCTTCATCAAGAAGACAAAAAAGTGGTCTTTCTATACAGATGGTCACAAAGCTGGTTTCAGTATATTCACTGATTAACGAGTCAATACTATAAAAAAAAAACAAGCAAATAGTTCCAGGTGTCGCAACGAAATATCTTCTTTTCTTAAGTCCATGCTTGTTCATTGGTCTGTGTCTCTGTGACATCAGCAACGTAAATAGGGTGTATTCAAATTTGCTAGGCAATGAAACAGAATTTGACATAACAAGCAATGCTATTATAAACCTTTCAATTCCTTTTTGGTTCTTTATGCAATGATGTAGATTTACAGACTTGATTAATGAGATGTACTGTGTTTTTATTTAGCTGAAGTTAAAATGTCCACGATGATGACGGCAAGGAGGTCTTGCTCAGTCGCAGAAGTTGATTTGGATAGGATAGAAGACATAGGGGAAGTACTCTGTGTTTGACATTAGACCTGGCATGTCAAAAGCCTGCAGGAAATAAAAATGAGATAATTTTGAGATAAATTTTGAAGTTAAAGAGAAAGCTGAGTTCTGGGAAAAGGGTGAAAAACAATTTGTGAGCGTTATCATTGCTGTTATGCAAGTGTGGAAGAACATCAGATAAAACATGCTCCTTGAAAAGCATGGCTCTTCAAATGCCTGGATATTCTAAATATCGCATGTAACATCATAAAAATCTGGACAAATTTTTACAGCACTTGTTCGAGTAGTCCCATATACATCTTTCTGTGTACAGTGAATTTAACTTCACCAAGACTGGGCCAAGTTTCTTATCATTTTGATGATTCCAGAACCTTGCAGTACACACCAATACTTATATGCTAGATGATCAACCTTTTCTGATCATTTCCACAACGTTTCTTTCACAATGCAATCGCATGACCAGAACTCAACTTTATCTTTAAAGGGACATTTGAGCTCTTTTTTTAAGACCGCAAATGCCTTCAAAGTACATGGTTATTGTTCTTATTCTTATTTGCCACTCAGTTTTTCATTATTTCATTAAAACAATTATTTTGTGTAGCGCCCTCTACACCAAAACTCAACTATCCCTTTAAATGTTGTGAACATTATCATCATAAGAAGTAAGAAAAAATCAAGTAAACATAAACATGTAATGTATTTAAGCCATTCCTTCAATAAAAAAAACTTAATTCCATGAAAACAAGACACTACAGAACTAAGGAACAGTCAAACCTGTCTACAGCGACCACCCAATGGAAACACAAAAAGTGGTCTTTGTAGACAGGTTTCTTTAGTACATGTTTCAATGAGAAACCATTTTCAAGGGAAACAAAAAGTGTGGTCCTTGTAGACAAGTGGTCACTAAAGCAGGTTTGACTGTACAATGTAGAAAACACATTGGATCGAGGAATAACTTTTTACTTACCGGTACACCTTTAGCATCCTTAGTATTTATATTGCTCCCATCTAGATGGCCGTAGAGGGTGTTTAGAACTTCTTTGAGTTTCTTCTGTGTTTTCTTGTATGGTTGGAGTATCATGGGTTGAAAGTTAACTGGCAGACCATACCTAGAAGAGGAAACAAAGAGATGCATTTAATCTAATCTGTTGTCTGATATCTCACCGTATCTGGTCTGATCTAATCTTCACATGGTCTAATTTGCCAATGTTTGTTCTGTGTTTTCTTGTGTATTTGGGGGTCGTTACTCGAAACCGTCTTAGACTTCCTATTTAAAACGTGTTTTTAATTCTATAACTCATGTTTTAAATGGGATGTTTACAAACTTAGACTTTCAACGGTTTTGAGAAATTGGCCCTTGGATTATATCATGAGCTGTCAGTTAACCGGCAGACTCTACCTAAACAAAGCGAAGAGATCAATTTGGTCTGATTTATTTGCTTTTATCTGATCTACTTTGACAAATATGATCTGATTATAGTCAACACTTACTCCTACGACTTATTAAAGATAAAGGTGAGTTCTGGTAATGCGATTGCAATGTGAAAGAAAAAGTGTGGAATGGATCAGAAAAAGTTGATCATGTAGCATGTAAGTATTGGTGTGCACTGCAAGGTTCTGGAGTCATCAATATCATAATAAATTTGGCCCAGTCTTGGTAAAGTTACAAGCACTGTACACACAAAAGGCGTATTTTGGACTACATTAAACATGTGGCATAAAAATCCGTCCCGATTTTTATGATGTTACATGCCATTTTTAGAATATTAAGGCATTTGAAGAGCCATGCTTTTCAGGGAACATTTGTTATCTGATGTTCTTCCACAGTTGCATATTAACAATGATAACGCTCACAAATTATTTTTCAACTCTTCCCAGAACTCATCCTTCTCTTTAAAAGAACACAAATTCTAACTGGAGAATCCATTGTACAACCAATGAACATCTTACCTTAAGACTGATTCTACAAACACCCTCAGGGCCTTGACATGTACCCACGCCTGGAATGCTTCACTGAAATTGATCTTTAGCCATCGCACGAGTGGGCCCTGCATCAGCAACAAAAACAATTGGGTGTGTCTCAAATGTTTGGTTACTACAGATTCCTCCAGATATCCACTTATAACTTATGTCAGGAACTAAACATTGCATGCTAGTACAGTGAAATATGTCTATAAAGATCACTCAAGGGAGACAAGTCTTTACAGACAGATGGTCTTTATGTACAGGTTCCTGCTTTAGTACATGTTTCAATGAGAATCAATATTCAAGGGAAACAACAAATGTGGCCTTTGTAAACTAGGTTTGACTGGACTACTCAAAATCAGAAAAGAATTAGAAACAAGCAATGAAAGAAAACAAAATCAAAAGGAGGGAAAAGAGACATAACAAAAAATAATGAATGAAGACACATGTAAAACGCAATAAAAGAAGTTTCTAAGCTCAGTGCAAAAAATGAAATAAATAAGTAAATTTCCCTAATATGGAACAGTTGATGAACACAGATCAAGCCGACCCCAACCATCAGGTCCTGACCTATCACCAAACTTTGAGGCTTGGGAGCTCTAGATTGTACTTGGTGACATTAACATAGATCAATATCTATGTGGGGTCTTTTAGACTCTTGAAAAAGTGGTTAAATCTAAAACATATGGGTCACTCCATAAAGTTGGGGCAAAAAAAATACGCAATGTCCATGTAACGTTGGTCTTCTACTATACATGGAAGATGAAATTATCAGTTGAAGATATTTATGTAATGAATATTATTATATTAGTGCACGCCAGAATCGTTCCAGATTCAGTTGCTTTTCTTCAAAATCTTTGCTTGATACTCATTTATCTTTTTACCAGCTTTACATGGACACCATATTCATATTACATTACTTAAACCGTAGGTCTATAATATCGATTCACCATATAGCTTGAGTACTTCTGAAGATAGTTGGCCAAGGTTTTCATGCAAAACTCAATGTGAACTATCATTGTTACAGTTGATAGGAGACATAGTTTCTCACTTCTGGTATGTCAACAAAGTGCCCCAACTTTCTGGACAGACTCATATCACTCAAGAGTTATTTAATAAATTGCATAAGGCGTGATAGAATGATTAGTATGGATGGTTACTTACATATTGCCTTTTCTTGTCAGCTGCAAGCTTGTTCAGCTCGCTCTTCCCGGCGTTCAACTCCTCCTCATTGTATGTGAACTCTCTCACCATGAACCTGTGTGGGAGGTGAAAGTTCAAAGGTCAAAGGTTATATTTAGTTAATTCACACTCTTTCATAATCAAGGACCTAGAATAAAAACTATAAATTACCGGGTACAACAAACATATCTTTTACCGATTCTAGACACAACTCCACCATTGAAATGTTTGTAATCATTTTTTCTTTTCTTTGTCGTTTGTTAATGTATATTGTATTTTTTTGCTGTACCATTTCTGGTCCCCATAGAAGGCCAGCGGTATCATATTGATACCGCTGAATATGGGCTATCCAGCCGATTATTTTATCTTGTAATTCATAATTCTATTTGTTATTAGTTTATTGAATGCATGATGTATTTTTATATGGAAATAAAACAAACAAACAAACAAACAAGCATCTTGCTTGCACAGATTTTTTTGTTAAACTTCTGTTTTCCCTGGTGTAGTTTGTGCTCATCCACGACCTTCTATAACATGACGCTGTACAATATGACTGTTCCCCCCTCCCCCACCCCATCACGCTTAACCTATTGCATAGTGGGGAGTGTTTCACAAAGACTAAGATCGATTTTAAGATAGACTTAACTATGGTAGGCTGTTCATGCCACTGTTTGCTTTCACCATTTACTGGCATTGGTCTCTCAAGGGACGTACAAAATCAGGGTCACAAATCTACAGAATTTATATTTTTGATAATTAATTATTGAAGGTGAGAGTGACCAGTGGCATGAACGGCCTGCCATAGAGCACATAGAGATGTTATTTCATAACGTTTTATGCGTTATACAAGAACTGAACTATTATTATTATTATTATTATAGTTAAGTCCATCTTAAAGTCGATCTTAGATTTTGTGAAACACCCCCTGGTCCCTGTATTAAGACTATGTGAATGAGAGAATTCAGAAGACAAAGGGTTGATCCTTACTTGTTTTCCCTGGCGTGTAGCTTGTACTCATCCACGACCTTCTTGAATAACGTGACGCTGTATAAGCCGTGATCATTGTCTTCATAGATCATCCTGCAATGAATAAAAGTGGAGACGATTATCCATTTGAAGCACTATAGCATATTGTGTAGCATACATTTAAGATCCCAATGAGAATTATTCCTTCAAAATCGGAATGGGTGGCAGCTATGCACTACACAAATGTGACTATTACTGTTATTATTATACTTGATGAGTTCCGATCCCATTATGGGGGTCGTGCATGTTGCATCAGTCCTCTGGAACAAGCTGCCAAGTGACTTTAGAAACATTCAATGCCTAGAAACCTTTTAGAAACATGTTAACCCTTACTGTACTGGGCTATTTTGAGCACCTCCTGACTGGGGGGGGGGGGGGGGGGGGGGGGGGGGGGGGGGGGGCCTGGGAGGCCCCCCCTATGATCTCGGCCGTCGGATGTCCGATGAACACGAAAATTTGCATGTTTGTAGATATTTACATTACGAACAAGATGGTGTAATTAGTTTTTTGCGAATATGCAAATTTTTGTCGTTATAGCCTAATTAATTATGCAAAATGCTAATCTTATGCATTTTACAGAAAACATGTCAAACTTCACTTTTTGAGCGTTAAAACTCATTATTCATATGAAACTTCTTTTCTAACACAAAATATTTATTTGGATGTAATTAACAATGATAATTTATGCAAATTTGATGCGATTTTCAAATATTTATTTTCTTATGTATTTTATTGTTTTTTTTATTTCTTATTATATCTATTGTTTTTATTTCTTATGTATTCTTTTGTTCTGGAACACATCAAGTTACTTTGAGAAAACATATAAAAGCAATTCGATATCAATTCACATCACCCACTTAGGAAGGAATACATCTAAACCTGCATTCACATTTATGCTTGTACATGAATATATGCAATTATAGCATATTTTTGATGACATGCGCATACTAATTGTTATGTAACACCTCACAGGTATATCCGATTGCGACGAAAATGGTATCAAAACGTGCGTAAGACTTGACGGAAAAAAGTCATGAAATGACAATTCAAAATTTCAAGCGGTTGCGGCGCAATCTCCGAAAATGTCGAGGGGGGGGGGCCTCCCAGGCCCCACCCCCCAGTACAGTAAGGGTTTAAAACGGTTTTATTTACTCAGAGTTACAAATGATATTACGTTGTTAAAATTCTGGAGAGAGATTTGTGTATTCTATTTTGTATAGCACATTGAGTAAGTTATTACATAAGTGCGCTTTTTAAGTGTTTATTATCATTATTATTATGATTATCCCATCAAAAGCAAGGATGCATGTTTTACTCACCTTGTAGACCTGGGCACAACCATGTCAGAGAGCTTCTCATATTTGAAACCCCAATCAGAGTACAGATTCCTGCCAAAGAGAAGCAAGGCAAGACAATTAGATAAAGACTTATACAGTGAAACCTGCCTATAATGACCACCCAAAGGAGACTTGTAAGAGAAGTGGTCTTTATAGGCAGGTGCTTTTTATGTACAGGTTCCTTCCTCTCATATTTCATTTCTCTCTCTTTCTCCCCCTTTCCTTTTTTTGTCTCTCTCTCTCTCTCTCTCTCACTCCCCCCTCTCTCTCTCTTTTTTTCTCCCCCTCTCTTTCTCCCCCTCTCTCTTTCTCTCTTTCTCTCTGTCTCTTTCTTTCTCCCCCCCCCCCCTCTCTCTCTCTCTCTCTCCTTCTCGGTGTGACCGAAGTAAAAACAAGTACAAATGCACAAGGAAAGGATATGAAAGATGGATTTCAACCTACTTTTAGACCACGACGAGTAGCGTGGTGAGATACTACGACTCGTTGATGAAGTCCTCCTTCTCTCTCTCTCTCTCTCTCTCTCTTTCTTTCTCTCCCTCTTCCTTTCTCCCTTCTCTCTCTCTCCCTTTTCTCTCTTTCATTCTCCCCCTCTTTCTTTCTTTCGCAGCGTGTCAGTATAAGATAAGGATAAGAAAGGTGGATTTAAATTAAACCTACTTTTGGACGACGACAAGCAGCGTGGTGAGATACTCTGACTCGTTGATAAAGTCCTCCTTCTTGACGATGTCTCCAAGATTGCGTGATAACAAGCTCCCTCTGTGCAAAGAAAGGGAATGGCATTCTGTTATCCCATTGGCTACTGATTTATTCCCTTAAAGCTTATCAGTACTAGTTTACAAAAGAGATTAGACTGCCCCGCAAGGTCAATGGACAGGTGGTTATCTCATCAACTCAGCTCTCAGTTAATATAAGAAAAAGAGGATCATTGGGGACCAATGGTCACCAATTAGGCATTGTTTAATATAGAGAGGGCGCAAGTAGCTACAAGTAGTGCAGTGGGCCTTTAAGCTTGAATACAATAGATTACTATCTATATAAGGCTTACTAGTAGAATAATAAATCAGTGTATTCAATATCTGTAGCGCAGTACCCGGATGTCTGACCCAGTGGCGGATCCAGGGGGGGGCCGAAACGGCCGCGGCCCCCCCTATTGGCGGCGCAAAAAAAGGAAGAAAAAAAAAGAGGAAGAAAAGAAGAGAAAAAAGAAAGGAGAAGAGGAGAAAAAAAAGGAGAAGAGAAAAGAAAGGAGAAGAGAAAGGAAAAAAGAAGAGAAAAGAAAAGAGAAGAGAAAAAGATAAAGAAGATACACCCCCCCCCCCCCTTTCTCCCTCCCACTCCGGGGTCGGAGGGACCGAATTTGTGTTCCCAAAATTTCCGATAAAGAGTTACTTTTCACGCAACAAAGTCCGGCCCGTAATACACAAAAATCCGGCCCGTACTGACTCTACACACCGGATATAGAGGGGTGCATTCAAAGAGAGGGAACATACATGTGCGTACCTTAGATAACACTGAGTGGGTGGGGGGGGGGGAGAAAAGTCGGGTGAGAAAGGGGGAAAGACAAGGAAATGGCGCTAAGTGACAGTAACGACGAACAAGGGAAAACTGTAATCGGGAGATTTGGGGTCATTCCAGAAGGCTTGGCAAACGTTATTGAATAGAGGGGGGCCGGGCCGGCCGCATAAAATCTCGAGCCGCGGATTCAAATTTAAACGTTAAGATCAGCCCCTGCGGTCATCACTCTTTAGTGAGAAATTTGAAAAGGGCACAATAATTTGGATGTCTTTTAAATAGAAGTTATATACTCAACAGTCAAATTTTAAATTAACGGTAGGGCCGCTTCACAACTCTTATTTTGCCCTTCATTTGGATTCAGCTCATACCAACTCGCTTGTGCTTGTATTTAAACTCATGTTGGTAGTAATCATGGGCAGGGGCGGCAATCCTGGGCCCGTCCCCCAGGAAATTTAGAAATATGGCTAGAAAGAAATATAGCGGAAAGAACGTACATATTGGGCTTAGGGATTTTTTAGAATGCATAATTTCAGCATTCAACATTGCAAAATCTCGCTTGGTCGCTACAACCAGGCCCTCGCCCGATAACACAAACCTTTGAAGCTCCCGGCCGTGATTTATCCATGGTTGGTGTAATATATCTTTTTTCCCTTTCATTTCTACTAACCTAATTGTGTGCTATCACAATCATGATTGTTTCATTTTCGCTTTAAAGCGGTTGCGTAGCCAGGGGCGGTGGGGACAGTAAGAGGATATAGGACGAAAAAGGAGCAGACAAAGAAACATTTTTGAAAATTCTGACAAGTCGAGAACGGTACAACGAATCGTCTTCTTTTTTAATAATTTAATGAAACGTCAACGTTTCCGCGCTTCGCGCGGGAGGGGGAAAACTGAATTCAAACAACGATTAAGAGACGAGAATGGTAAAACGATTGGTCTTCTTTCTTTAATAATTTAATGAACCGTCAAAGCTTACGCGCTACGCGCGGGCAGGGGAAAATGGAATTCAGACAAGGACTAAGAGTCAAGAATGGTACAAAGAATCGTCTCCTTTCCCTTATAATTTAATGAAACGTCAAAGCTTCCGCGCTTCACGCGGGAGGGGGGACGGGAACTCAATTCAGACAAGGATTAAGAGTTGAGAACGGTACAACGAATCGTCTTCCTTCTCTAATAATTTAATGAAACGTCAAAGCTTCTGCGCTTTGCGCGGGAGAGGGGGGGGGGGGAAGGGGGGCTGAATTCAGTCAAGTAATAAGAGTCGAGAATGGTACAACAAATTTTCTTTCTCTAATAATTAATGAAAGGGCAAAGCTTCCGCGCTTCGCGCGGGCGGGATGAAACTGAATTCAGACAAGGATTAAGAGTCGAGAATGGTACAACTAATCGTCTTCTTTCTCGAATAATTTAATGAAAGGTCAAAGCTTCCACGCTTCGCGCGAGAGGGGGTGAAACTGCGTTAACACAAGGATTAAGAGTCGAGAATGTCACAACGAATCGTCTTCTTTCTCTAATAATTTAATGAAACGTCAAAGCTTCCGCGCTTCGCGCGGGAGGGGGAAAACTGAATTCAGACAAGGAATACGAGTCGAGAATGGTTAAACGATTCGTCTTCTTCCTCTAATAATTTAATGAACCGTCAGAGCTTACGCGCTACGCGCAGGCAGGGAAAAACTGAATTCAGACAAGGATTAAGAGTCAAGAATGGTACAAAGAATCGTCTTCTTTCCCTTATAATTTAATGAAACGTCAAAGCTTCCGCGCTTTACGCGGGAGGGGGGGACGGGAACTCAATTCAGACAAGGATTAAGAGTCGAGAACGGTACAACGAATCGCCTTCCTTCTCTAATAATTTAATGAAACGTCAAAGCTTCCGCGCTTTGCGCGGGAGAGGGGGGGAAGGGGGGCTGAAGTCAGTCAAGTAATAAGAGTCGAGAATGGTACAACAAATTTTCTTTCTCTAATAATTAATGAAAGGGCAAAGCTTCCGCGCTTCGCGCGGGCGGGATGAAACTGAATTCAGACAAGGATTAAGAGTCGAGAATGGTACAACTAATCGTCTTCTTTCTCGAATAATTTAATGAAAGGTCAAAGCTTCCACGCTTCGCGCGAGAGGGGGTGAAACTGCGTTAACACAAGGATTAAGAGTCGAGAATGTCACAACGAATCGTCTTCTTTCTCTAATAATTTAATGAAACGTCAAAGCTTCCGCGCTTCGCGCGGGAGGGGGAAAACTGAATTCAGACAAGGAATACGAGTCGAGAATGGTTAAACGATTCGTCTTCTTCCTCTAATAATTTAATGAACCGTCAGAGCTTACGCGCTACGCGCAGGCAGGGAAAAACTGAATTCAGACAAGGATTAAGAGTCAAGAATGGTACAAAGAATCGTCTTCTTTCCCTTATAATTTAATGAAACGTCAAAGCTTCCGCGCTTTACGCGGGAGGGGGGACGGGAACTCAATTCAGACAAGGATTAAGAGTCGAGAACGGTACAACGAATCGCCTTCCTTCTCTAATAATTTAATGAAACGTCAAAGCTTCCGCGCTTTGCGCGGGAGAGGGGGGGAAGGGGGGCTGAATTCAGTCAAGTAATAAGAGTCGAGAATGGTACAACAAATCTTCTTTCTCTAATAATTAATGAAAGGGCAAAGCTTCTGCGCTTCGCGCGTAATGGGGGGGGGGGGGGACAGCGAGCTGCCCGAATATGAGTTTTTGATACCTTTTCTCGTTTATTTTGGTGATAAATAACACTTTCACAAAATACATATTATGCTCAAATTGTTGCTAGCTCACTAGCCGAATTGTGAAACCAGAAAATTACTTTTTTTCGGGCAAGACGCTCTAGCCTCCCCCCCCCGATGAAGATGTCAAAAATTGTACCGGTATGGTGCTTCTAATATGACCTTGACAAACACGGTCTGCGCAATTTTCAAATTTCCGGCCCCCCCTATTGGAAAATCCTGGATCCGCGCCTGCTGACCAATATTGTTTTTGTATTGCTCAGTCATCCAGGAACTTCAACTATCAATATTGATATCGATATCGATATCACATCACATTATCACATTATCACATGAAAACAATGCCATATGTACCGAGGTGAGTCAAATTTGTTATTTCGCTAGTCAGCCTAATATAGATAATAATAATATTACTTTGCTTTGTTTTCGTGGGATACAAGAATATATTGCTCTCGCTATGACAATATTGGACTCGTCCAATAGTGTCATGGCTTGAGCAACATATTCTTGTATCACACTCACAGCCATCCAGTATTATATAAGCACCGAAGCTGTAACATCATAATTTTTTTTGAAGAATTTCTCAATTTGAACTTCATTTTCCGAACGAGCATCAAAAATAATGTCAGAATGTTGAAAACCAATTGAATATGCTAAATATTGGCTGAGAAATGACCATCTGAATAAATAGAGTTCAATAGGAAATCACTGTTATTTTGCTCTGGTTCATAACATTATGGGATGCGGGAGGCTAGGAAATACACAGTGCAGGTTTCAGTCTTCTCCTTGGACTCGACTCAAACCCATAATCTTTGGGTGAACAAGCTACACCAGCTGAGCCTGTAAACTTACGTGGCTTTCCTTTCCAGTGTTTGCAGGTTTCCCTTGATACTGTTGTACGAGTGAGATTTGGTCTTGAGATCTCCATCCATCTGTGATACTTGCTGTACATGGAAAGATCATGTGACAACAAGAAAGATCATGTGACAACAAGAAAGGTCATGTGACAAAAAGACAGATCATGTGACAATGAGAAAGGTCATGTGACATCAAGAAATATCATGTGACAGCAAGAAAGGTCATGTGACAGCAAGAAAGGTCATGTGACGACAAGAAAGGTCATGTGACAACAAGAAAAATAAAATAAGATTCGATGCAAACGTTTCTTTTATAAACGTTTTCTATTTTTTAGGGGTGAGTAGATGGCTCAGTCCTAGAGCAGAGGTCATGGAGGTCAAATCAAAATGCTAGTGCCCTTTGGAAAGGCATTGATCCTCATTACCAAGTCCCTCAGAGAGGACTTAAAGCCATCAGTCCTCTGGTTGTTTACTTACAAGCATATACATGCTCTCTGTAATAGCAGTCAGGTAAAAACAAACAAACAAACCAATGTGCAAATAGAAATAACCTGACATTTCCTCTGGCAACACTTGTTCCCAACTTTGTTTTGTCACAGAGAAAGGGCTATGGTTACGATTGCAATTGGGTTGCAGATTTGGTTTAGGGCAAGGGTTAGGATTGCTGTACAAGGCAAGATAGAGAAAGAATAGGGTAATTCTCCGCTGATCTGTAATACTTGTTGTACAGAGAAAGATCATATCACAACAAGAAAGAAGCAAAATAAGATTGAATGATAAAGTATTAATTTACTTCAAATTTGTTGATACATTTAAATTAATTTAACAAATAAATGAATTGGAAAATGAAACGTATGAAAGAATGAATGAATGTTACACATACCTTGCTAATGATCTCAGCAATGCTCTTTAGAGGAAGTTTAATAGGATATTTAGCCACATCCCACTGGAATCTGGTAACATATGTGCTCAAGTCCACTAGAAAATGAAATCAAATAAACACAGAATTAAAGAGAAAGTTGAGTTCTGGTCATGTGATTGCATTGTGAAAGAAAAGGTGTGGAATGGATCAGAACAAGTTGATCATGTAGCATGTAAGTATTGATGTGCACTGCAAGGTTCTGGAGTCATCAAAATCATAATAAATTTGGCCCAGTCTTGGTAAAGTAACAAGCTTGGTACACAGAAAGATGTATATGGGACTACACAAATGGTGGTGTCGGGGCTAGTACTACCTGATTTTCTTATCTTTCTATGCTCATTACTCAGCCAATATACATTTTCTTCCAAAATTGTTTGGCACATGACATTTATTTGTAATCTTGAACATTCAGTGTAAGTTTCGTTTGATTCTGTGAGAATTAAATTTCTTATTTTTACCAGAACTCACCTTTATCTGAACACTAATACATGTGTATAATTATACATAGTAATCATAATAATAATAGGCATTTCTATAGCGCCGTCTATCTTGAAATTCTACTCCGAGGCGCATTTATTATTACCCCAGCTTTAGCCTAGCTGCCATTATAGCGCTCCAGCATTTCAAGGAATTAATTCCTGCCAGGTACCCATTTACATCATCATATCCTGAATATGTAATTTGATATTGCACCTATTACAAGTAGAACTACAAATAAACCAAAAGATATCAGATGAAGGTAAGGACATAGGAAAAAAGGATTATACTCTCCTGAATATTATTTTAAATTATGCGCAATATGCAATTTATAAATGTTACGTTAAAAAGATTGTCACTGGTTCTGTTATTGACCCCAAATTACCAGCATGCTTTGTTTTTTCAGTTCAAGTCGTCGCTAAGATTATTTTTTTAAGGTATGAATGTGTTAGCAAAGAAAATGATACTAAGCTGGAAGAACTGTTAAAAGTATGCTTTAATTTTTAGCCAACATTAATTTTCATTCAATCATTGAGTAATCTATGTAAATATGTATTGAAATTATGGAAATAAAAACCTCGCTGGAGGAAAAGAGAAAAACAAAATATATATTTACCACTGATGGTACGACTACGCCAATTCACATCTCCATATAATTGCTACAAGAGAGTACATTTTAAAGAACCCTCTTACTCTCACCCCCCCCCCCCTTCTCTCTCTCTCTCTCTCTCTCTCTCTCTTCCTCCTTCTCTTCCTCTCTCTCTTCCTCTCTCTCTCTCTGTCTCTCCCTCTCACTCCCTCTTCTTCTCTCTCTCTCTCCCTCTCACTCTCTCCCTCTCTCACTCCCTCTTCTTCTTCTCTCTCTCCCTCTCTCACTCCCCTTCTTCTCTATCTTCCTCTCTCTTTCTGTCTCTCCCTCTCACTCTATCCCCATCTCACTCTCTTCCTCTCTATCTTCCTTTCTCTCTCCCTCTCTCTCCCTCTCCCTCTCACTCTCTCCCCCTCTCTCTTCCTCTCTCTCACTCTCTCTTCTTCTCTATCTTCCTCTCTCTTTCACTGTCTTTCCCTCTCACTCTCTCTTCCTCTCTCTCTCCATTGATATATCCTTGCTATTATAAGGGAGTACATTTTAACCCATCGCCTACAGGAACCGGGTAGCTCCTGTATTAAGCCTATGTGAATGTGAGAACTCAGTAGTCAAGGGGTTAAAGCACCACAGTGATGATGATGACTCACTTCTGTTAGCCATGAGATTCTCTGCCAGTCTGTCCTTCTGATCTTCTAGAACTTCTCCAAGATAGTGAGCAAGCTTGTGAGTGATACTGTGAGAGGGGTGGGGGGGGGGGGAGAGAGAGAGAGAGAGAGAGAGAGGGAGGAGAGACAGAGAGAGGGAGACACACAGAGAGAGAGGAAGAGATAGAGGGAGAGAGATGGAAGAGAGAGAGATAGACAGAGGGAGAGAAATAGAGAGAAATATATAGAGGAAGAGAAATGAAACGAGAGTGGCAAAATTAGATAGAACAATAGAAACATAAAAAAGAAATAAACAAAAAATGGATGAAGAGATTTCAGATAAATTCAGTTAAGTTCCATTTCACAAATTTTGATGTATTCTGTCTTCAGTTTTTTTTAAAGTGTAATTCGATGTTGCTTTTTGTTCAGAGCTAAATTACCTTAGACTCCATAGTATTTTGTTTGTATTTTTTATAATAATTATTATATTCTGTACGATAGATTATATGGTTTAGGAAATATATAATTTTAACCTAATCCTTGCTAGATGTTTATAATAACTTCTTATACCCTTATATATAGAGGACACACAAAGGCTTCCATTTACATCAAAGGAAAAGTAAGCTAGTCACTAGTAGTGCTAATGTTGTTTTTTTTGCATTGTCCTTTGAAGAAACACATTATGCTTACTTGTCTACATAGGAATCCAGTTTCCCCAATTCATCCGAGAGTCCGACCAACGTGTCTAACGTTCCGACTTTCAGGTCAGGGATCGGGAACTTGAAGTTCAGCGACAGATCGAACCTCACGGTAGCGCCATTCAGTCTCTCCCATGTCTGCTGACACGTCTTCTCACCCGGCGCCGAGATCAACCAAAACTCACCGCTCATCTGGAATTAAAACATCAAAAGTTGATAAATTAGCTTTGAATGAGTGTTAAAGTGGGACTGCACTACTTGCAGCTACATGTACTTGCGCCCCTATATAGCAAACAATGGCTAAGCGGGACTTATTGATCATGTTTGCTGACACATCTTCTCGCCTGGGGCCGAGATCAACCAAAACTCACCGCTCATCTGCAATAAGAACATCGAAAGTTGAACAATTCGCTTTGAAGAGATGTTAAAAGAAAAGGTTGAATTCTGGTAAAGGTTAAAGAGTATCCAGAGCTGAAAACAAGATTTGCTCTTGATGTACAGTAAGGGGTCCGGTGAGGCTATACTGTAAGCTTACTATACTGTATTCAAAATATGAGCTTCAAATACTACAAGATTTTGCATTTACATGTACTGCAAATACATTCTAGTGAACTGTAAGAAGTCTTGTTGAGTCCAGTTAACACATGTGTACGCACTATAGGGCTCGCACAGAACCCAAGCCAGAACTGGGTTCTGTCACTTCTGTGCGTGACCTATACGCAGGGTTTTGATGTTATCTTTATTTCTTCATACTCTGTAACCATTTATATATATAATGCCCAGTTAAGTTTTGTCAAGTTGAAGAAATAAATTCTAGCTGTATACACACGAAATATTGCAGTTGCAATGCAAAACTTTCAAACATTGTCAATCTACAGTGCATCTGCCTGGTCTGAAGTTCTACCGTAAATTGGTCTGGTAAAAGACTAGCTAGCTTGCATGGTTGAGATTAAAACTACCATACTCTAACTTTAGAAATGTAAGTTAGGTGTCATTGATAGATTCGATACACAATGCACATTTTTCACAAAATTGCTAAGCTACTTTCCGGTAGATTTAGAATTAGGTCTTGTAAATTACTATTGAGCTTGTACATGTATGATTACTTCTTTTAAAGCACACTGCAGTAATACATGTATATTAAAAGTTATGAGTTGGCCAGTTGGCCTGCAAGTACATGTGTATTCAGTCCAAAGCCACGCTTTTGAAGCATTGCCAACTTGCTTTCGTCTGTAGAACATAATTAGGTCTGGTAAGAGACTAGCTTGCTTACAGTATGATTGAGACCAAGAGTACAGTTAGAGCAATGAGATTTCCTCTCTCTTTCTGTCACTTCCTCTCTATACATGTCATTATGACAGTCACAACGAAACACCTAACATTGAAAATCGTTTTAAAGGGATCGTTAAACAATGTTAAATCTGAGATACATGGCCCTACGTGTTATCAGCGTCTGTGATATGATGTAATATTGAAGCCCTAAAAAAAATTGCGCTTCAAAATGATCAAGAAGTGCCTCTAAAAAGTAAAAATCTTTAAGTGACCGGTTTTACCATACTCGTTTCCCCAGTGGACTGTAGTATTATGAAAACCGTTTGGCAAACGGTTTTCAAAATTTATAATTCCAATCATAAATATCTTGATAATCAGACAGGCGATTGGCTTGTAAAAGTCATGGGATTCCTGACTGATGTAAAGGTTTATAATTATCATTGCAGCATGAGCTAAATCCAGAATTTTTATTCAGAATCTGAGACAAAGTTACTGATCCCTTTAAACCTGAAACGTACAGTATAAAAAACAGCAATAGAATCATTGAAGCAATTCCACGATATGAAATTATGAATGACCAATGACATTTTCATTTGATTTCATTTCCAGGAACATACATGTAAGGAGATAACAATAATAAAGAATACAAGAAAACGAATTACAATAATAAAGACATAGGAAATTGATTTTCAAAAGGTTAAAGTTAATAAATTCTGCTTCCTGCAATATATAGCGTTGATTATATTTTCTTCTCATTCTTTACTTTTCAAGATAAAATTAACATAATAATAATAATATTAAATTTTTATATAGTGCTTAATACAAATGTCTCTAAGCGCTTTTAACATTAAACCTTAATAGTGTAATTGAGTACATGTTTGTAAATGTAAGTCTACACCTGTGATAAAATGCTGAATATAGATTTCCTTCTAATTTTGTTCCGCTTGGTTTTCATCCAGAACTCATATTTTTTATCTTCAACATTTTCATCTCCACTTCCATGTTCCTATTTCTTTTGAAAACTTCCCGTTTCATTCCTCATCCACTCATTCTCTTTAACGTGCTTAACTTTTATTACAATGTAGATCTTTATTCTCCTATTCCCTCTCCTCATAGTCATAGTTCAAAGTAGACCGAAAGCTTCAGTCTCTATACCGTCGGTTGTTCCACTGAGACTGCGTCTGGCTCCACTAGACCTCCGGTTATAGAGACAGAACGATCGCCTATGCCAGCCTATGTTGAAGATATCACGGCTAGATTTTAGCCGTTAGGCCCCTCCCACAAACATGAACAAACTTGCCACGGCCGTATTGTTATGCCCCCAAAATCCCCAAAAATGTCATTTTACCTTGTGCATATCCAATTTTACATTAGGCCTAGGCTATAATACATGTATCGGTTCCACTTACTAACTTGATTGAAATAATCCGTTTAATGGTCCCTCTTAAGGAAATTATGGGTCAAAATCGACAGGAAAAACTGTGCGCCATCTACACGTTCGTAATGGCGTTATCACAGTTTTTCCTTCATAATCATTTTGCCTTCGGCGTAGACTAGAAGGGATGAGATTGACGGCAGCGAGAGTTTAACACGGCTTGCAAGATTTTCAACATGGATGTCGATTTTGACCCATAATTTCCTTAAGAGGGACCATTAAACGGATTATTTCAATCAAGTTAGTAAGTGGAACCGATGTATTATAGCCTAGGCCTAATGTAAAATTGGATATGCACGAGGTAAAATGACATTTGGGGGATTTTGGGGGCATAACAATACGGTCGTGGCAAGTTTGTTCATGTTTGTGGGAGGGGCCTAACGGCTAAAATCTAGCCGTGATATCTTCAACATAGGCTGGCATAGGCGATCGTTCAGTCTCTATAACCGGAGGTCTAGTGGAGCCAGACGTAGTCTCAGTGGAACAACCGACGGTATAGAGACTGAAGCTTTCGGTCTAAGTTCAAAGGTACTTTTGTATCTCTCTTCTTCTTCTTCTTCTTCTTCTTCTTCTTCTTCTTCTTCTTCATCTTCTCCTCCTCCTCCTCCTCCCCTCCTCCTCCTCCTCTCCTTCTTCTTCTTCTTCTTCTTCTTCTTCTTCTTCTTCTTCTTCTTCTTCTTCTTCTTCTTCTTCTTCTTCTTCTTCTTCTTCTTCTTCTTCTTCTTCTTCTTCTTCTTCTTCTTCTTCTTCTTCTTCTTCTTCTTCTTCTTCTCTTCATCAAACTACACCATCATGGCGATCAAGTGATGCATAATAAGGTGCAACACAAACAGATAGATCTCATATGAAATGTTGGAGTAACAGAACAAAATGAATTTTAGATCTAAAAAAAAGAAGTGAAATAGGCCTAGATCTAGGCCTAGACCTAGTCTAGATTAGTTAGATCTAGATAAAATTCTAGAGTCTAATTTATATTTCTAGGGTCTACTTAGCCTAGATCTAGACTCTTAATTACAAACAAGCATAAAATGACGAGTAAATATTCGCCACCTGCAAACAAATTTTATTCAGATAATTCAACCTCAAAATAAGGCAAAATGGATCTTCGACCTGTCACTTCATTCATAATCACAGTCACAAGCATTAAGCACAGGCTCGCGCTCGCTCCACCGGCAATCCAATTCACTTCGCTGGGGCCGCACCCCGACAACTTCACACGGCTTGACACTACTGAAGCCCCACTAGCCACTCACGTCAACATGTCAACGAGTCGCATACTTACGGTCAATAATAAAGGTCAAATAATTAGAGATATCCCTTTATAACAGCAAAATTGTGTAAAGCAACTTCTTCCGTCTCTTTGACCCACTTTACACGTGAATCATCCAGCTCAATCCTGTAACATTCGAGTTTTCCAGCCTATTTGTATTCTCGAATGATGTTAGATCGCAAGTCCCATGACCTGTAAGAAGTGACACGAAAACATTTCATTTCATGATGTGCGGACGTCAAAGTGCAATTGACAAATGCAAAGAAAACCCTGCTGTGCAAACAAATGCAGCGCCGATGCATGGGGCCACGTTAAGTACAGCAAAATAAAATTGAATTCCTAGATGTTTGTCCCCTCCCACAACGTAGGGGGGGGGGAGTAGGGGAGCAATTGCCATTCCAATCGAGCAGTGAACAACAAAAGTGAAATGGAGCTACAAGAAGGGGGGGGGGGGGCCGGGGAGGGGGAATTGAAATCTCTGGTATCGGACCTATATACGACCAACCCCATCGGCTTATTCTCATTTCATCCACACCCTACGATCACCCCCCCCCCCCCCACCATGGCTAAAACCATGCTACACCATGTCTTCTGTTTCCTTTTCTTTCTCTACCCGTCCCTTCTTAGCACTAGTTTGTCCGACGGTCCGATCCCTCTCTTTCTCTCCCAACCCCTTTTCCTTCTCTCTCTTCCGAGTCTTTCCCTCCTCTCTACAAAAATACTTCATACAAAATAATGATATTCTTTCTATTTTTCTCTGCCTCCCCATTATTAATATTATTATTAGCACTTGTTTTTCTGTCTCCCTCTCTCTCCCTCTCAAACACTATCTCTCTCTCTCGTTTTCCTCTCTCCCTCTTTTGTTTCCCTCGATCTCCCTCTAATTGTTTCCCTCTCGCCCTCCCAACCCCAACCCCTTGATCCCGTCTTCTCTCTCTCCTTCTCTCCCTCTCTCTCTCTCTCTCTCTCTCTCTCTCTCCCTTCCTCTCTACATGACAATAACAAAAACAAAACAAAAAATACTTCATACAAATTATATTCTTTTCTTTTTTATCTGCCTCCCCATTCTTAGCACTTGATTGTCTGTCTCCCTCTCTCTCCCTCTCAAACACTATCTCTCTCCCTCTCAAAACTCTCTCTCTATCTCTCTCTACATGAAGATATAACATAAAAAAGCAAAAGATTACTTCATACAAATGATATTCTTTCTATTTTTCTTTGCTCCCCATTCTTAGCACTTGTTTGTCTGTGCCCCTCTCTCTCCCTCTCCCTCTCGTTTTCCTCTCTCCCTCTTTTGTTTCCCTCTCAAAACTCTCTCTCTCTCTCTCTCTTTCCCTCTCTACATGACAATAACAACAACAACAAAAAATAATCATACAAATGATATTCTTTCCATTTTCTCTGCCTTCCCATTCTTAGCACTTGTTTGTCTGCCCCCCCCCCCCTCTCTCTCTCTCTCTGTGTTATTTCCCTCTCTCCCTCTCCCTCGTTTTCCTCTCTCCCTCTCCCTCTCCCTCGTTTTCCTCTCTCCCCCTTTCTCCCTCTCTCTCTCCCTCTTTTGTTTCCCTCTCAAAACTCTCTTTCTCCCTCTCGTTTTCCTCTCTCCCTCTTTTGTTTCCCTCCTCCCCCCCCCCCTCTCTCTCTCTCCCTCTCTACATGACAACACAACAAACAAAAACAAAAGATTACTCCATACAAATGATATTCTTGTATAAATTGCAAATACAATGTTATTCAAAAAAATGTTCAGTACAAGATGACACAATGTGGTATTTACATTTTTTACTCCACATTTCTTTCTGTACGTAAAATTTAAGCTACCAAAGAATGCATCAGAATCCAACAAATAATCTTGCTTTTTATCGACGCAAAATATAAAATCTTTAAAGATACATGTCACCTACAGTATTTCACTAAAATGAACCATTTCCAGTCTGGGGTAAAAACCATAAGTGATCTACTTTTTCTTCATCTTCCAATTTGCAACTCGCATATTTCAATTTTATTGCTACATTTCTATACCGGTACTTAAATCATACATCAACAAATTAAAAGTGCATGTCAAATTTGACTTCTGATTTTTGTTCTTCACATTGTTGTGAAGCAGACGATCTTGATACCTATTTAAACACAATGTGATTATATCAAATTTTCCTTGATTAGATAAAAGAATTGACAATTTAAAAAGCAGCCAAATGTTAGGGGTTTGTGTACTTCAAACTGGTGGGGGTAGCACAGGTCAGATGTATCCACCCCCTCCCCCACCCCCCCCCCCCCCCCCCCCCCATCCCCCTTCTATCATTACATATCAGCTTACACACAAATTTAGTTTTCACTTTTACTTTGCTTAATGTTCACTCTGTAACAAATTTTACATAAAAAGGTAGACGATTTGAAAATAAATGTAGATTAATAAAAATTTGCTCTCTCCTTTTCTATACAGCCAAGCTAAGATGCTTGTTTATCAATTTGTGATCTAAATTCAGCTTTTATGGTGCAACATGTCTTAATATGGCCTTAAAAAAAGATGGTTTTCATTTACAACTACTTTACAAGTTACAACTTAAGGGCTTACCAGTATTTAATTTTCATCAAAATGTATATAACATGAAAGATATGTTACAAAATGCAACCAAAAAGCCCCTGCCAATTTGTACAAGAAAATAGAGATTATCAATTGATTCCACATTGCATTGTCAATTTTTATGAACATTATACTGCAACAGAAACAGTTTTTTTTTTAAGTCTGTGATTTTAGCTTTTTCTGGTCATATATTATGTCAAATTCATTGCATTTTGCATCAAAATATTACACACAAACAGCATTAAAAGGTGACTCTAAGATGCTTTGAATTAAAATGCAAAGAAAAGTGAAAAAGAATATTAAAAATAACATAAATAACGTGAGTCTAGAGCACACGGGATACACAATTCAATGACATTTTCCCTTTACAATACCAATACATGTACACGTAACAGAGCCATAAATAATTCCACTTAAATTTGCATGAATTTTGCAGGGAGCACATATGCACTACTGAGGGGGTGTTTCACAAAACTTATCATCAGTGACATGTGACAGTTTTTGTTACAAGCTACTTAAGTCCTAGCTTCTGATTGGTTATTGGTTTTTGTCATTTGACAATGAAAAAAAGGCTTTGTGAAACAGGTCCCAGAACTTGTTTTACACAGGAAATGTGTGCAAATTTCAACAGTTGTTCAGATTTGCAAAAACTTTCAAACAAGCTGTCGGTGACAAATAGCAAAGTTTCACATCACAAAAATCTCTGGTTTCATAGTATATCGTACTAATCACAAACAAATCTGTGACTGACATGACATAAACTGTTCATATCATATTCACTACCGGGTATTTAAAAGATTATTTGTTCATATAATTTTTTTTTGCAATGTAAATACGTGCAGTGGGTGCATCATTATATTACGGAATCAAAATTATGTGAACTACACACAAATTAATCTCATCATAATTCAAATTATTTGTAGAACGTCTCCAGAAATTTCCAGAACAAAAGGAATAAATAAATATTATTTTCTTTGATAAATGCAGGAAATGTACATGAAGATATTTGCAAATACATGTACATATATAGCGATATAGACGTACGTACAACTGAAGAAAAAGACGAAATTTCAGAGGCAAATTTGAGGAAGTTTCTGACAAGCACATTTCCGGAAAAGCGTAAGACTTTGCCACATACAAATATAATACATCACAATACATTGAAACACAGACTATACCATACATTAAGAATTGCAAATTAGTCTTGATCAATGTTATCATTTTTTTTCTGTACATAAAAATCAGAATTATGAAAATACTTTTATCTCTAGTTGAAAAATACACAAAAATGATGCAATACAGTCTATTCCTCCCACACAAAAATGGTTCATACACATTTGATAATATTTCAATGGTTAAAACAATTTTTTTTTTTTTAAAGTGAGGCATACTAATGCCATAATAGAATGAAGTCACTTTACATATTAGCTTTGTGTGGTAACAAAGAGGCAAAATAAATGACTATCCTCAAATGTGTGATTCAATGATATATGTCCCCCAAAACATATGATTTGATCCTTTTCATTAATCCACAATATCAATTTCTTGACCAATAATGATAAAACGGTTCTTTCTGGTACCAGTAACATTATTAAAAGGTCAAGTGGATAGATTTCTCATTTTTGAAAGAAGTGGGAAAAGGACACGTGCCACATCCCACAGAATTGCCAGATCTAAAGAGGAATTACATGTTTTCTGAAAATGGATTAAACCAAGTCTGGTTTTTTCAGACTACCTCTATTCAACTTTCATGCTCATTTTAGTTTTAGGAGAATAAGATGTACCAGTTTTAATATTTTCCTCTTGAAGTTTGTTTTTTACAAATAAATATCACAGTCCCTTACAAAAAAAATTCTCTAACAAAGTGGGGAGATTGTAGTCACTCTATACGAACCCTAACACCACACGAGTACATGTACAAACCTTCACTGTGACATCACAATGCCACAGCAAACCTATACTGTGACATCACAATGCCACAAACCTATACTGTGACATCACAATGCCACAAACCTATACTGTGACATCACAATGTCACAAACCTGCACTGTGACATCACAATGCCTCAAACCTATACTGTGACATCACAATGTCACAAACCTGCACTGTGAAATCATAATGCCACAAACCTATACTGTGACATCATACTGCCACAAACATTTACTGTGACATCACAATGCTACGGCAAAAGCAAGTCATCAAGATGGTGTCAATTTACAACTGAGATTGCAACAATATCTTTCAAATGATTATTTTCAAAAAAAGTATCTACCATTCTCTGTCTAATAAAAGGTAAGAAACAATATACGATTGTGTGAAGAAAAAAAAATCATTAAAACTCGAACATCGATATAAAAAAACATAACAGAGAATAGATCATTGAAAGAAAGGCAAAATATACAAAATATAAGTTCATGAGTAAGTGATGGAAAAAAATGGTTTACAAGGTTTCTTCTCCTCAAGATATATTTTCTAATATGATGGCAAGTTATGACTACATGGGGGTTGTATGTACATTAGGGATATCATGGTTGGTGTCTGTGTCAAGTCTTTGGTGTATAATCATACACTTTATGTTCAGGCTTGTATAAAATGGGTGTTGTGTATTATCACCACTCACATGTTTTCTAGCATGGCTTTAGATAAGTGCTACATCAAAGCACCAAACACCAATCAATGTAGGTGTCTATGATTCAGTGTATCATGATAGGTGTTAGGTATTGAAGGTGATAAGACTATACTTCATGCGTAGAGTCAACACATCACACCAACACTGGACCATTAGCTTTGGTGTATAATTATACACTTTATGTTCAGGCTTGTATAAAGTATGCATATGTTTTCTAGCATGTCTTCAGATAACATGGCTCCAAACATTAACACCGAACACAAACACCAATCATAACACCACCCAGTCTGTCCAAAGGATAGAAACCATAAGTCTTTCATGTCCCAAAGTAACTCCTTAGATACACCTTACAATTTTGGAAAAAACAATACAAGACCTGCAGACACTTGATGAACACCTGGATTTAGGATCTTAAAAGATAAAGTGGAACCTCATTATAAAGAGCACTGATATATTGATAGTAGGTTCTTGTATAGTGCTCATGTCTGTCAGACTTGGCATTCCTGGTGCTCCCGATTATTGCCCTGGCTTTACCCTGGCATTTCAAGGAATTAATTCCTGCCAGGTAGCCATTTACATCACCTGGGTTGAGTGTGGCAAATGTAGATCAATATCTTGTCAAACGAAATTAGCGCCGCAGCGGGACTCGAACCACGGACCTTGTGATCGACAGTCCGATGACATATCCCCAAGACCACGACACCTCTGACAAGGTATCTTTTATAACAAGGTGATTTTGCTGGTCCCAGCTCTTTATATTCTTTTGGGTTTTTTACCCCGATATATCAAGATTCTTGATGTAACAGTGTACTTTATATGGTCCCAAGGACCGTGTTTCGAGGTTCCACTGTATCTGGATGCACCTTTGAAATTTGACAGTAGATGTGTTCACAGAAAGTTGACTTGTTTAGAACAGATTCACACCAAACAACAAGTCAAGTCACAATCTGTCGATGAAAGGTAGACATTCAAACTGGACTTCAAACACGTTTCCTTTCCTGGAGTTTTTACTCTTTCCTGTATAGTACAAATCATTCTGTTTGAAGCCAGAAGGCCATTAACTCATATACTTTAATACAGAGTTAATGCCCTCCTGGCTCTGAACAAACAAATTTGTGATATTCTGTCTTAACAGAACAATACATAGGGGTGATATTTTCATATCCTGGAGTATTACTTCAGTAATTCTCAAACTTTACAGATGACTGCCATAATTGCAATAACATTAGTCTTGATATAATGGACTTACATTACAATAATTTTTTTTTTTTTTACAAGGATATCACAGCCACTGGGCGTTTGTGATTATGCACAACCTTTTGAGTATACATTGACCTTAGACCTACACAATGTTAAAGGTTATGACCTGAAGAACTTCATGATGAAAAGCGATAAATAATGGCTGAATGTGAATGTCTCAAAACCTTAACTAAAATTTCGGCTACATCAATAAATACCAAGGCATGGTCTGTATAGCATATCATGAGTATTTATTTTCAATCTTTCAATCTGAATCTTAACTACATGTATCAAAAGCATGAAAAATAGAGCTATAGTTTGAAAAGGAACTAAAAAACTGTGATGATATTTTTTCATAATTTAAGATAGTTCTGCAAAAGGAAATAGCAAATTAGACATTCGCAGAAGCTATTTCTAGATCGTGTTGAAGACCCTTTACACAAATAGGGACAATATCTAGGTTACTAAAAAAACAGAAACTCCCGAGTGTATGACGTTCTTTGCGATATTTTGCCAGTGGTTCAGATTATAAGCAGAAAAGTATCATGCCGAAATATCATTGCAAAACTTGATACAACACTAGATTTATGCCATTCTAGAAAGATTCTTCTGTGAAAATGGGCAGTTTCATGTCCCAAGAATTTATGGTTTTGCAGTGGCTTTCTGGATTAGATTTCACCTTTCCATTACTGTTGAAAAAGTCACATGCACATTTCATGGGAGACTTTCTAAACAGTGACATAAAGGGTCAAAGTTCAGAGGTCGTGTTCATCTTAACAGATGTCGAGTCAAAGTTCAAAGGTGGGATCATGGAGAGCTATGGTTTTTATTTCTCGTTGTTGTTTCTAGGAAGAAGGGTTATTTGATGAGAGGGCACTCAAATGTACATCCAGAAGGGAGCCATCACATATAGTGACATGTGAGGTCAAAGTTCGAAGTTCAAAGGTGAGATGCGATCATGGATAGCTATGGCTGTTATTTCTTGTTGTTGGTTCTAGGAAGAAGGGTTGTTGATGAGAGGGCACTCAAATGTACATCCAAACAGGAGCCCTCACATATAGTGACATGTGAGGTCAAAGTTCGAAGTTCAAAGGTGAGATGCGATCATGGATAGCTATGGCTGTTATTTCTTGTTGTTGGTTCTAGGAAGAAGGGTTATTTGATGAGAGGGCACTCAAATGTACATCCAGAAGGGAGCCATCACATATAGACAATAGTGACATGAGAGGTCAAAGTTCAAAGGTCAGATGCTATCTCAATGAGCTGTTGTTGCTATTCCTAGTTGCTGGATCAGGAGGAAGGGTCATGGGTCACAAGGGCGCTCATATGCAGATTTTGTGGATCATATCTCTCTGCAACAGAAAACATAAGCAGATGGAAATAAAAAATGAGATAATAATAATAATAGTGAACATTTATAATGCGCCATGTCTGTCAAAAAGGACACTCCTTTAGTACATGTTTAAATGAGAAACCATATTCAAGGGAAACAAAAATGTGGTCTTTGAAGACAGGTGGTTGTTAAGCAGGTTTGACTTTACTATGCCAGTACCAAAATGTCACTTATTGATTCATAGAGAATTCATCCCATAAATGGGCAGCATACTCAGAAAAAAGATGTGATAAATGTCATGAAATCTGGAGCAACCAAATTTGTACATAGCAACTACCTTGTTCCTGAGTCATACATATTTTTTATATTGAAATTTTAGTCATTTTGTGTATTGGATCAAATGGGAAAGTTGTACTGATTCAGTCAATTTGCAGAGCATGTACCTATACTGATTACAACATGTTTTTGTCTGATTTCATTCAAACTTCCACCAGTCTACTTCTCTGATTTGTATGCTTTTATCTATAGGGTAGTTTGTTATCAAGGTTGGATTTCTCTTTTACAAAGGATCCTCAACACAATTTCATATGCCGTATTTAATCGTTTTATATAAAGTAGCAAAAAATCACCCTCATTACAGGGACCCGTTTAGCAAAGCCTTTTTTCAATGACAAATTACAAAAATCAGTGACAAATCTGCTGATAACCAATCAGAAGCAAGGATTTCACTAGCTTATAACAAAAACTGTCATTTATCACTGATGACAAGTTTAGAGAAATGGGGCTCAGATGTGTGTAGTTCTAACTTACCAACGGTTCTAGCTCCTTTGAATCCACAAGGTTGAACTCGTGTACGAAGAAGTAGAAGTGTTTGTAGCATGTGTTTATGTGTGCTTCCTGTAAACAAAAGAAAAGAAAACGAAGAGGACTTTCAGGTAATCTGATTTTTAAATATGGTCATGTCGTTTTTTCATATGCACTGTCGGTATCTTCTTACATCTTTCACCTCATGAAATAGTTTTACTATCTTAATGTCACTCACATCTATGAAATCGTTTTATACTATTTATTTTATTTAAACAATCTCAACAAGTCTATCAAAGTGATTGATGTAGACATGAATGAAAACTATATAAAATCTGGTCAGCATCTTCATGCATTTTTCACCTCGAGAAATAGTTAACTATCTCACTCATAATCATGAAATAGTATACAGATATTGACTGCTTTGAGAGGCCTGGCTGTATTATATGCTTAAGGGAATGCGCGCACCTCCTGCCATGACCCTGAGGCATACCTGGGTGGGCGGCGCGCCGAGGGGTCATGGCAGGATCTACTAGTTCCCAAGAGCATATAAAGCAGCCAGACCTCGAATACTGAAGCAGTCAATATCTTTTATATGCCGAATTGAAACAAAAATCAATAAAGAATTCTTACCTTATCCTTTTATTGAGTAAAGATTGGTTAAAACATCACAGAAAATTTTAGACACTGTCTGTAATTTTTGCTTGAAAAATGACTGAAACTTTCAATCATTTTGGGAATTGCAGACAAAAAGCGCTGTATGGTGTCCCCGCTCGCACAAAGAACATTTTAACATGAAAACCAATGGGTATCGCACCAAAATTTTACTATTTACATGGTAACCTGAATTTTGAGGGATCTCACTCTTGGACTATTAACCGGTATTGCCATTTTACGTTTCTTTACAGGAATGGCTAAAATTACGACTCCAATTTCGACCAATCAAATGGCTAGATTTCTTAAGTGAGGTATATAATTTTTACTACTACTTCTTGTGCACTCACCGCTCCGATCTCGACAAGTTTATCAAAGTGATGGATGTAGACATGGATGAAAACTCTGTGTAATCTTGTTAGTATCTTCTTGCATGTGGAGACAAACGATTTAGGGAAACTCACATCTGTAGAATGTAAAGAAAAACATGCATTCATATAATCTAGTTATAAATAATCTATGATTCTAGTAGGAAAAGAGTTAATGGTATTAATAATCATAATAATAATAGGTCAATTTATATAGCACAGCTCCTATATGAATATACTGCACTGAATACAAGGTATCATATTATTACCCCGGCTGTAGCTGAGCTACCATAATAAAGCGCTAAAGCATTCAAGAAATTTCTTCCTACTGGGTACCCATTTACTTCACCTGGGTGGAGAGTGACCAATGTAGATCAATGTCTTGCCAAAGGACATTAGAGCCACGCGAGACTTGAACCCCGAACTATGTGACCCACAGTCCGGTGTCACATCCACTAGACCACGCCACCTCTAGCTCTACTAACAACCATCTCTTTCAATAGTTCATACCTGTGTTGATAGGGAAGATGTTCTCATTGTTGATGAGTTGTTCTACCCAGTCCATAAGCTTGTTGATGTAATCTGAGGCTGGTAGAGCAGTCGGTTTCTTGTACTTCTCCCCATCCATCCACATGTATTCATACCTACCAATGAAACGTTAATTGAAATGTTAAATGATGTTACAATTCATAGCTAAAGCTGTACATAGAAACATGAAGTGAAACCCTAATTCTCTACTCATTTGAACGTGTCCATCACCTTAAATTGGCCGTACACTTACTGCCAGACAAGTTTCTAAAATGCAGAACTCGGACACTTTGGTAAAGAAGAAACATGAATCTAATGGCTAATTCTCTGTACTTGTGTGAACACAGCCACACCCTCAAATTGGCATAACACTTACTAGATATGTTTCCGAACTCCTACACTTACATTTGCATGTAAAATCTGAACGTAAATCTGAACGTAAATCTGAACGTAAATCTGAACGTAAATCTGAACACCAATTCCACACTTATCTGAATGCATCTATTGTTTTCCCTACTGTGGGACCCCTTCTCATGATAGGACATGTATCCGCACTGCAGAACTCACATTCATGTACTTACCATGTACATGTTGCTATCGAATAAAACGTGGGTTTCATCGCTGATTAGACACTGATCTGAACACATTTATAGTCTTACCTTGGACCCCCACTCATAATAGGACATGTATCCGCACTGCAGTACTCGCAAACTGTCCCGTAAATGAGGTTAATTCTGTTGAAAAAGTCCACCACTAGAATCAATGGAAAAAATAAAGAAAATGGGGGAAAAATGATAATATTAATAATAATACCGGTACTCAGTTTTTATATAGTGCTTATTACAATTACTAAGCGCTTCCAAACTTGGAGATTATAACCCCGGCTTAAGCTGTGCTACCATTACGGCGCTCTAGCATTTCAAAGAATTAATTCCTGCCAGGTACCCATTTACATCACCTGGGTTGCCAAACGACGTTAGTGCCGCGGCAGGTCTCAAACCGCTGACCTTGTGATCAACATTCTGGCGACTTAACCACTCGCCCAAGGCACCTCTACACAGGATATTAACATAATATGTCATTGTGTAATTAATAAGCTTGACCACTACGTCAAGATCAAGACCGGAGTTTTTTTAAAGTCTTGGACTCTTCATCTTACCATCACTCAATTCTCTCCTATCTCCTATCTCCCTTCCCCCTTCCCCTCCTCTCTGACCCGAATTCACAAAGGAGGTTTGTCAACAAACCTTGGTTTTCGTGCGTCATATGACCCGTTTTTACAAACCAGGTTGGAAAAAAATGTGTCAAAATGCGTCACATGACGTACTTAAACCTCGGTTTATCGACAAACCTCCTTTGTGAATTTGGGCCAACGTGTCAGTTATATCTTACCATGCACTGCAAGCCAATCATTGAAGTCTTCTTCTGCGGGTAGCTTGACCACCACTTTAAGATCAAGGCCAGAGTTTAGCGATGCTTGCGCTTTCTTGTGCAGGTTGAATCGCATTGTGCCAGACTCAAATTTCTTCTTCGGACGAAAAGTCTAGAAAAATACAAGATGAAAATTATAATTATACCGATAATATTTTCTTTCACATAATAAACAAAATAATAATTTTTTTTTCCGATTTATTTCTCAAGCACATGTACTTTGTCATTTGATTTTCAATGCAATTTGTAATGGTACATGTACAATGCAATGTCAAATGATATTGAGAAATTGTTGTGTACATGTGCAATTCAGCCATTTGCCGCAAAGCATTGTCAAATAAAACCATTATTGAAGTGAGCTGAATTGAATTGAATTGAACAAACTTTCATAGAGAAACATATCAGCAATTATATTATCTGTGCATCTACAATGTGTACCGTAACATGTATTAAAGATAAAGACCAGTTATAGTCATGCGATTGCATTGTGAAATCGATCAGAAAAGGTTGATCATCTAGCATAGATGTACTGCAAGGTTCTGGAATCATCAAAATGATAAGAAATTTGGCCCAGTCTTCATGAAGTTACAAGCACTGTACACAGAAAGATATATATGGGACTACTCACACGTGCGTTTTTATCTCTCACATGCCAATAGATAAACTAATTTACCAAATCTATCAATTAGTAGGCGGTTTCCCCGGCAAAATGTTATCATCATGTATTATTCAAAACATATTCTTTCACATGATTGGTAATAAGAGCTTCCATTTCATTTTTTGAAATTGGGGCGTTTCCAATACTGGTCTTTACCTTTAATGCATGTACATACATGTACATGTATGTATACATTGGGTATATTTACTCCAGGAGTTTCCTGGATCATAATTCTGACTTCCTTCCTTTATCACCAACACAAATACAGTATCATGAAGGAAAAAAGAGTCTCCTCTTGGCTACTTTCCAAAGTGATGATTATTGTGTCAGTCCATTCTCAGATCTTTACAAAAACATGGTTGTACTATGTACAGAGTTTCACACCAGCCATGTTTGGGGTTATTGAAAGGGATAGCTCTGTTCCAGAGGGTACGTGCTACACAAAATTATTTCTTTGTGAGATGATGAAAAAACTGAGTGTCAAATTTGAAAGAACATACAATTCAAATGACAAAATCATCTTTGTTAGATCAAAAATCGGTTCAGAGATGGCTGAAATATCTATAAATATAGCCATTTCTAATAGTTGTGTGCCACCACAAATATTGGATAACTTGAACCAGCCGTTGAAAAAACGAAATAGCGCCTCATACGTTTTATTCCAGCCAATGCCGATGTTGGCATTTGTTGGCTTTTTTGTGTTGGTTATAATACGCACAACCGGTTATAATTTACGCACAACCAGCTGGCCCATGTATTCTTATTATTAATTAATTAATTGATTAACGGTTATTCTATTTTTATTTTTTTTAAGTAGAGCTAAATTGGTATGATCGTATTGGCTAAATGTCACACATTTTTGGGTCTAAAATTACATTCATAACAATTTCAGGTTGGGTTTTCCTTTATTGAATTGTATGTTGATGGTGAACTTGGGTTTTTTGTCACATCTCCTGTTTTGTAAGACTACACATTCTGGCAAAATACACAACTCTACATGTAGCCCAATCGCCCATGTTGATGATAAACTTGTCAAGAACTCCTGTCGTGCCAGTCTAGACACGGACTGGTAAAGTGTTTTGTATACAAGTGATTGGGTGATTAGAAAAACATCACTGCATCATGAGGAATAGGGGGATAGCGATTGACAAAGAGATCTTTGTTATGGAGATGACGGAAGACCTATCAAATTTCACGTACAACCATCATACACAAGCCCTCTTCAATGCTCCTCCCCCCCCCCCCCCCCCCCCCCTCCAAAGCAAAGAGGGAAATTGCAGATAACATCCTTTGTAGTGAAAAAAATTCAAATAACATGATCACTTTTGTTTTTTATGCATATCTTCTTCCTCTTTCGCAGCTGTACAAACATGGAAACATACACACAGTACATTTATAGTGTATAATACAAATTGCAAAGTGAACTTCCAAATGATGATTCTCCAAGTTGCATTGCCATACTTTACATGTATGTGTCATTGTTGTACAGTACATGTACATTAGAAATGTTGAATATACCTTGATACTTTTTATAGGACACTGTTTAAGCTTCTTCAGATGCTTGTTCAAAAAGTCAGATTTTCTTTTACGTGTGACTGGCATTGTGACAACTGCGTGGCATGTGCGCAACAAAGGACTTGTGAGAGCCTACAAGTCGCATATAATATGCACTAAAAACAAAACTGTACATACAAATACTGTGCATAAATGTGGTTATTTCAGATGCCAATGTAGACGAAGGGCTGTAGTAATGTACTATACATGTACATGTACAGGTACATCAATCAGTACATTAGTCATGAGCCAGCATAACAATAGTAAATGACTGAGAGTAAACACGGATACACATGCATGTATATCACTATTATCCTCGGTGTAATAAATTGATGTGTGCATACACATTGTACAGGTGTACATAATACAGATAAAATGTAAAAAGAAAGTGTACTTTGTTGTAATGAGCAAACTTGTAGACGATTCTCTGGTTTGGTCTGGAAAATAGGGGTTGTTACTCGAAACTGTCATAACTCTAACTTCTTGAACATCCCACTGAAAGGTGTGTTATAGACTAATTATCAGTAACACATGTTTCTGGGAAACCGGGGCCTGGAGTCTACATGTATGTGGACACTACATATTTTAATGTGCATGCATGTACCAGCATTTTCAACATGGCAGAGATCTGATGTCTCCTCGGACATTTAAGCCCTTAGATCTCACTAACAAATCAATCAATGGTTAATCTGCGAATGTAAAAATAGTTCTGTTTCAACTTTTGATAACTTTTGATGCCTTTTGAAGTTTTGATCCAGAATTCTATGACTTAAAATGTGCAGGGAACACATGTATCTTTAGAGGAAGGATTTCCATATTGAACTGTTTACAGTCTGTATGCATTTGGTCGTTAGACTCGTTAGTCGATACGATAGGATACTTCACCGGCCGCATCTCAGATTTCAGTACGTGTGCTATCTGATTACTGTATCAAGCTGATAGTCTTAATTAAGAGCTTCAAGCTAATATCTCTAGCATGCACAGAACTTGAAACTATACCCTAGTTCATAAAGCCTTGAGCAGAGCCTAAACATGTCAGTCTCTGTGTGTCTACCTGTGACTAGTGTGAGTGGCTAATGTAGTCTAGAGCCTCATGTACATGTAGTCTTTTTTAAAGTATGGAATGCCAAGTGTCTATATGAATATATTTTTGAATAATTTAATCTGTCACTTAATTAAAATAAGTGTAATAACATAATCAGTAAATTATGTTATCATGGTAATTTAGGGGCATTAACTTATTCAAAAATATATTCATATGGACACTTGGCATTCCATACTTAGTCAGTGGATTACACCATGGACTAAAGTTAGTCTACTTTTGAAAATACCACCCATAGTGCAGACTAGGAGTAAGAGACTTGCCCATTGCCAATCACATGGATCAAAAGCACTCGTGTCTTGGCGAGCAGAACACCACACAAACAAACCATATATGATCCGTATCTATAGACGTACATGTATTACTGGTCAGGAAATGCAAAGAGGAAATAGACAAGACTATAGACCCTTCCTTGGCTAACCGCCTCAATCAATATTAAAGGCACTAAAGAGAAAAAACATGAGTGCTATACAATATAAAACTAATTATTTGTTCATATAGTTTTATTATTATTACCACTTTAATAACTAGTTTCACTTTTTTAACAACATTACATAGTTGATTCTGCTTTTTGAGTTACAACGTAAACTACATTTAAAAAAACATTGTCATGGTTGATAATGATCTAGGAGACATGGATTTTTACTTCTGGCATGTTTTAAAAAATTGTAACATTTCTTTTAGTTCCAATTTTCATGTTTCTCAGATGTTGAGCATTCTTTGTCATTGGTAGTTTCCAGACATCATTTCAACCAATCACCTTATTTTTTGTGTGATAAACATTTCTTAGCCAATAAGATGTCATCATTAGCTTTTTGTCACCGTGGTGGAACTTGAGAAGTACATGAAAATGAAAGTTCATATGAGGTTTTGGGTGTGATGTAGTGTTTGAGTTTCATTTTACTCAGAGGAAAATCCTTTTGGAAAGGAAACTCTATATTCTAGGAAAGAGAGAGTGACAAAAAAGACAATATAAAATGTATCAGGCTCTTAGCCGGACATGACAGAAACGACCAACAGGAAATACACAGTTCAGCAGAAAGGAAAACTCCACCCTATACATGTAGATAAAAGTGTTGATTTCAATTCTCATTACTTTCTATACTATAATCAATTTAATCATCACCATTTTTGGAAATATGATAAAGTCTTACCAAATGGAAAAATATGGAATTGCAAGGCAAAACTATAGTACAATTTGTAAATAATAATATAAAATGTACCCAAAATCCTTTAGACTAAAGAGGGATTGTGTGGCAATCCAACTCTTGTAATAAGTTCATATGAATGAAAACAGACAAAAAAGAGTAACAGGATGTATAAGTTAGAAATAAAGCAAGATATATTGTGTATTATTATTATTTGTGTTGAAAGTGGAATTCTAACGAGGCAAAAGCAAGTGTGTACAGGTACACCAGTAATTTAGTTGGAATCTCAGAGCCTGGGGCACTCAGAGACTTTGGTGGTAAGCGCTTTATAAGCACCGTTTTTATAAGTATTATTTAAATCTTCTTCTCCTTCTCCTTCTCCTTCTCCTTCTCCTTCTCCTTCTCCTCCTCCTCCTCCTCCTCCTCCTCCTCCGCCTTCTTCTTCTCCTTCTCCTTCTCCTTCTCCTTCTCCTTCTCCTTCTTTTCCTCCTCCTCCTCCTCCTCCTCCTCCTCCTCCTCCTCCTCCTCCTCCTCCTTCTTCTTCTTCTTCAGCTAAATTAGTAAAAATGAGGAATAGGGGACCTGCCAAAAATGTTGTCAAAATGATATATCCAAAGATGTTTATATCAGACAACCTTCTTCTTCTTCTTCAGTACGTGTCGACAGACTTGTTTAGCTCATGTCAAGACACGGAAACGTTAGGAGGTGAGTTGGCTCAGTCGGTAAAGCACCTGCCTGTCGAACCAAAGATCTCGGAATTCGAATCCCACCCAGGCGGATGACTGAAGCCTGCCCAGTGTGTTAACGTGCCCCTCACCTTGTTTCATAGTTGCAGGCTATGTTAAGTGGAAAACAGAGTAGGGGGAAACCCCGGTGTAGTGGTCCACCTGCACACCCTAATCAGGCCGATCTTCAGTATCGAAGGAGGCAGATTATCTTGAAGAAGAAGAAGATGCTGTTCTTACACACTATTATTCTCTCTGATGTCTGCTGCCCAATTATTTGATTCAAATGATGTCAAGTTGGCCAAGAAATGTCATCACTGACTTACAGAGTTTTTGGCTTCGCAACTCGTTGCTGCCACAAGTTCCTCTAGTACTACATGTACATTGTAGTACTGTGTACAAGGCGCTGATAGCGACCAGCTCTGAATGAAGTTGCAGACAAAACTATGTTCAAATGAGTATCAGCACTATATTATTGTCATTCTATATTAAAGAAGAAGACTAACTTACAATTTAAGTTTATACATGTAGGAATCCCATCTTTATTCTTCTTCCTCAATAAGTGCTATTATATGTAACAAAGATTACACACTTCAATGATTTGTGTGCAGTGGTCCACTGTAGTCAACTACAACCATGACTGGGGGCGGGTTTCCCCTTACTCTTTGGCAAATAGTGCCAGGGGTTCTTAACTTGCAAAGGTACGAGAATACACCAGATGGTGGCCTGTACTTATAAGCGAAGAAGAAGTAGGGACTCGATCTCCTCCCTCTATTGAACATCCTATCCAAGGGACGGAGTGTTTTCCACTTAACATAGCCTGTGTCTAGTATGAAACAGGGGCACCGGCACGTTAACCATGTTATTGTTAACACACAACGCAGGCTTCAGTCATCCGCCAGGGTTGGATTCGATTCGAACCCACGGTCGCGGTCATTGGTTCGACAGGCAGACGCTTTTACCTTTTGAGCCAGCTCGCGTACTCACCTCCTCTTCCTTTTCTATTATTTGCTGATGGCATGCTGATGATATGCTGATGATTGGTAGGCCTATTAATTTTTGTATAGATCTAGTCTGATTCCCATTTCCCAGCATAAACATTTCTTTAATCCCAATTCCAACCAGTCGTAAAAACTAAAAAAGTTTAATTTGAAAAATTCTGAATTTTCATAAACATAACAGCTTTACCATGTTTACCATGTTTACAAATCATATTGATATTATTGTTGTTGATTGTCCATTACTAATTCACAACAATTTCCTTGAAAGAAAGCAAGAATCATGATATTGTCTAGATCTAGTCTAGATCTATAGGCTACTCATGATAGTATTGTCTTATTCAAAATGATAGCCTACAGTAATGATCCGTATTAAAAAGGGTTATCTATTTCCTCAACAACAGTCAACAGACAGAGCATATCATTCACACATTCTTAGTCTTACTTTGTTTTTGGCAAAGAAGGGAAAATCCATGATGATCGTTGCTAGCTTTCACAAGAGGTGGAGTTTCAACTTTTACAGCAGTAGATCCACCAGATGTACAGTACACGGGAACCGGTCTATTTCCTCGATCGGAAGTCAAATCACTTCTTTTTTTCGTAAGTATTGACTATTGTGTGTTGTTGTATGGTGCATATACTGTACGTGCTTTTCCTGCATACAGCTGATATGAGCAGCGCATGCATATCGCATGCGATGCAGGCTTTTCCATTTTGCATTTTGGATTAGCGCCATCTCTTGCCAAATACAAGACAGTGAATTTCCTCCTTTTGTATATTTCTGTTTTTATTTCATTCCCCTTTTTCCTCCCCCAGATTAAGAGCTAGAGAGAGAGAGAGAGAGAGAGAGAGAGAGAGAGAGAGAGAGAGAGAGAGAGGGGGGGGGGAGAGGTGAAAGCTGGGCAGACTATGGTGGCGGATCTAGGGGGCGGGCCCCCTCCCCTAGCACCAAAACAGGAAAATTTAACATTTTTTTAAATAAAAAGAAGACGCCCCCCTCCTCCCTGGCGTGAGGGGGGTGGGGGTGGTTGGGTGGGTGTTGATTGAAAAAAGTGCTCACTATCCCCCTCCCACCCCTCCCCGTCGAGCAAAAAAAAGGGCTCCCCTCCCCCCTTTTATTTGCCGGCTGGCTAATTCGCCGTTAAATATTTTCTCACGAATTGGGCCCCCTATTTGGCCCCCCTCCCTTGCCGCCGGCTGGATCCGCCCCTGCCAACTCATGCGTACAATAATATTACCCCGATGTGTTTTCCATCATCATCATCGGATGTCTTTCCTAGTAGGTAATTTCTTCATTTTTTTCTTCAATGGCAGCCCCATAAAGCTCCCTAAAAGGAACAAAATCTTTGGACGTTTTTAACATTTTTTTTTTAAATTTTAATTCTTTTCCCATTTGTTCTGCAATACGAAAGGGTGTGGCTGTCTTCTCACCGGCCCGGGGGCTTCTTACCCATCATGATCAATGATTACCCATCCTGCACTTATATAATGGTCATTCTTCCCTAGTCATATTCAATGGGTCCGGAGGAGGGGCGGGGGGGGGGGGGGTTACCATTCCCACAATTGTATGTCCGATCCCGTGTTTGGATTAATATTATGATATCCCACATCCAAAATTTTGCAACACAACTATTGATCGAGATTATACAAAAAGGGAGAGATGGAAGGAGAAATAGAAGAGAATATACCTGGAGAAAAGAGAGACATGCAGATGTGAGACAGGAGAAGGGAAAGAAGAGCGGGAAGCCGCAATCGTTTAGAGAATCGGGGAAAACAAAACGGGAGAGGATGAAAGAGGAGAGAAAATGGAAGGAGAGGAATTTGGAATCCGTAAGCCAATTAAGATTGAGTGACTATAGCCTTATCATGATTATTGTTCATAAAGGATATAGTACGTGCGAAAATTATAGTGCTACATAATAGAGTTAATAGAATAAATTAATTGTGTTTTGGAAAATTGTATAACTCGTAAGATAATCCGTAAACATTTTGATTATTTTTGCTGGATATGGTATCATAAGAAATATGTTAAACATTTGAAAACAAATTCTAAAACGAAAGCAAATGTTAATGAAAAATAGGTAAAAACTTTGATTAATATGCCAACATAATTGATTCCTTTTTATTTAATTTTTTTCTTTTTTTCATGCAGTGGGTTAGATATAATTTTGTAAGTATGCAGCCATGAGCTCATTGATAATGGGCCTAAACCCAATCTTGACCACTACTTTCTCTTTAGTTTATTTTGGTATTGTATTGATGAAAATGTATTATTTTTGTCATCTTTATTGCCATATTGTACTTGTCATACCTGTTCGTTTGGCTCATTTGTATATTTACCGTATTTATAACTGTATTGTTTAAATTGTAAACATGTTTAGTTTTGGTCCTTGGACCTTTGAATCATGTATTTTTATGTCTTTTTAAATAAATAAATAAATAAAATGCCCGAGTTGAATGGAAGCATATTTTTAAATCTATCAAAGGGTGTTTTCCAGACCAGGATGCCATCAATTCATTCATTTCATTTTACTTATTACCCAATTTCAGATACATTGTAAACGTTTTTCAATCAGCATATGTCAATAACTAAACCGTTTGGTAAATGGGGCCAACATAATTATAGCAAAAGCTTGTCAAGGTTGGCGCCGTTAAATACACTACAATCTGATGATTCATGGAAAGAAATAAATCACAACTAAGAATTAGCATATATCATGAAGATCATAAAGTACAAACCGCGATAACCAAATTTAAAGGACTGCTTCAAATTAGTAAAACAAACAAAAAAGACAAGAAAAAAGGTTTGCGCGCTTATACCCCAAGGAAAGACAATAAATAATGAATGAATGAATGAACAATAAAAGTGGCTAGATCTAAGTATTAATTAACTGACAATACGAAGTGAAATGTACAGAAATGGTAGAATTGTATCATCATAATAACCAAACGGTTTTTGCCATTCAAATCAAGCAGCAATGTGAAGAAGTTTACAAGCAATATTTAATATATTTCATTTAAATCTTAAAAAAAACTTATGGTGGACAATATTGTAAAGGCTAATATTCGAGAATGGTGAGTGCTAAAAGGCTTTGGGAACAAACTTCCTTTAGATGCTGTTTGTAAGTATCGGCTTGTCTTTTTCAAGACTACACCAACAGTCTTTTTCAGGACTACACACCCTCAAGAAAGATTACAGAGAGTCCTTTTCAGGACTTCTGAGCAATCCTCCCTCTCTCACACATGGTACACCCGCAAGCCTATTGTCAAAAAATGTCAGACAGTCAACCAATTCAAAACTTTAGACGAGTAACTTACTCTGTTCACATTAATGTATATTTCATATGTATTGTAATTGTAGGTTTATAATTATGTATGTTTTTGTTTTGTTTAATATAGATAGCGTTTAGAGACTTCAGTGCCGGGTAAGCGCTTTATAAGCTTTATAAGCGGGTAAGTGCACCGTTTTTACTATTATTATTTGTAAAATACTTTGTGTTAGATCTGAGGCAAAAGGAAACAAAAATTGCTGTAAGTAATCTTTGAATTATTTTATGAGAGAGATGAAAAAGATAAAAAATTCGACCTTGCCAGGACTCGAACCTGGAATCCCCTGATTCGTAGTCAGATGCCTTATCCATTGGGCCAAAAATGGGGCATAAAGGACTACCAACTTGGGGTAAAAAAAATAAAAAAGAAGGGAAAAGGAGGGGAAAAGGAGGGGAAAAGGAGAGGGAAAGGGAGAGATTTTTTTGCCTCTTCTGTACTAATTTGTCCACAGAAATCTTTATTTTTATAGTTCTAATAAAAGAAAGGACAAGATTTATTTTTTTTCCTTTGGTCCTCGAAAATTTAAAAATTTGCACCCCCCCCCTCTTGAGCGCCAGGGGGGGGGGGGGGGGCCCAACCCCCCAAAAAAGGTAAAAATCACATTTTTTTTTCCTCAAGGGGGGGGGGGGCCGGGCGCCCCCCCCCCCCCCCCCCCCTCGGTAGAAGCTACCAAAAGGAGGGGAAAAGGAGGGGGAAAGGGAGAGAGAATTTTTTTGCCTCTTCTGTACTAATTTGTCCACAGAAATCTTTATTTTTATAGTTCTAATAAAAGAAAGGACAAGATTTTTTTTTTTTTTTTTTTTGGGGGGGGGGGGGGGGGGTAGTGAGCACTATTTTTTTTCCTTTGGTCCTCGAAAATTTTAAAATTTGCACCCCCCCCCCCCCCTCTTGAGCGCAAGGGGGGGGGGGGCCCAACCCCCCCAAAAAAGGTAAAAATCACATTTTTTTTTCCTCAAGGGGGGGGGGGGCCGGCCCCCCCCCCCCCGTAGAAGCTACCAATTTGGCCAGAACATGACATTCCACAGCTATGAGGGAGTTTATGATGTACGGTCACTTGTAATTACTAATTATAGCCAAATAAACCCCAAATTGTAAACAACGGATAAGAACCCCAAACTCCCAAAACAAAAGACTTCCTGTCTCCCTCCCAACGATAAGACCTTTTCTCTGAACAGATCGTGTATAGCTAGAACACTGTGAGAGTGTAACTGTTATAAAAGAAGGCAGAGGTATTTGTCAGATTCACTCCTGCACTAGTACTGCACCCCCATCCATGGGGCAGGCAGGGAGGTCGACTCTGCAAGCTTGTTGTGTTACTTTGTACATTAGGTAAGATTACTCTTTTGTCAAGTTTGATAATTATCTCAATAATTATTATTTTTGTAGATGTATTCTGATGTTAGTTAATAACCTAGGTATCATTCTGAACGATATAGTTTGTGCTAAATTAAAATGCATTCTGTAAGGTATTATCTGTTTAATCACATGCAGTAGGTTGATTTTGTTATTGAGTTAGCACAAGATTAGGATTTAGTAATAGTGATTTGAGATGATTTGAATGTTACGTTATCTGTTATATTACTTGTAATCTTTAGAAGTTTTAGTTATATAATGGGTTGAGGTCAACTCTGGATAATTATGTATTGCGAAACAGTTGTAAAGTAATATTTTGAGAATAGGTTGTGATTATATATTGAATCGTCTGGTTTGGTGTTTCAGAGTAAAATTCACAATGATTTGTTTTAATTGTTATTCCTTCAGGTGTTGACAAATGACAATTAACATGAAAGAAGCGGGAATAATCGGAGGAATTAAACGTCCTCTAGGCCAGATTGCCAGGGTGAGTGGTTATCATATTCAATGTATAAACCACTAATTCAATGTAGTTTTAATTAGGAATTATGTTTGATTGGACAATCATTGTTTTCATTTATTTGTTGGGAAAGTTATCCATATAACGATGGAAGAACTTTATTTGTGATTATAGTTTCATGCAATATTGATTAAGTTAATGGAATATAAACAACCTGTTTATCATCATGAGTCGACTTGACGTCATATTGTTGGAATTCGTATCTTGGAGTCGTACACAAATAATATGTTTATTGCTATTATGTGTGTTTTTCAAACATTTCCTCATATCTATTTAATTCTTTTAACTTTGTTTATTTCTTCAGGTTTTACGGTTTTATGGTTTATGGTTTAACTGTAAATTGCGTTGTACATGAAATAAAAAGAACCGCAACACAAAGAATGGTGATGTGTCTTCTCCACCAGTTTCCGCGTGTGATCTGCATGTTACATATGAATAGTGGGTGATGAGCCCATTTATTTGTTGATCATTGATCTTAAGCAGTAATTGAAAAACCTGCAAATCAATCCAAAAATGACAAATATAAATGCAAGTACAGATTCTCATCATGTTTAAAAATGTGAAGCTTTATTCAAACATCTCAAACATATTGATAAATATAGTTTAAAAAAGTAAAAATGGTACCCCAAAAATAAAATGTGTTTGATTAAAAACTTGCCACATTAATTGGTTAATACCAGTCTAAGACCAGTGTCGTAATACGGACGTAGCTGTGTAAGAGTTGATTATTAAAGCCACAAAGCACTCGACCAAGCAGCTTGTATGAATAGTGGGTGATGAGCCCATTTATTTGTTGATCATCTTCAGCAGAATTGAAAACCCTGCAAATCAATCCAAAAATTACAAACATAAATGCAAGTACAGATTCTCATCATGTTTAAAAAGAAGGTTTTGCAGGAACATCATATATATATATATCTGAGATAACTAACAATGTAGGTGAGGCAACCAGACAGTAAATTATTAAACTGTTGGTTTACAATGATATTAATCTACATAAACTGTGACATTAATGTACATCAATGACAATATAATAATAAAGATAATCTCAAATATTTGAAAGCATCTTCAAAATTATATAATAAACAACACTTACAAGCAGCATCTAACACAGAGCTGCCAACCTCCAGAACAGAAAATCAGTAATTTGGGGTATAAATCAGTAATTTCTTATGCAGCGCTATGAATCTAAAAAAACGGCACGCCAACACTGAGCGGACGCATGATTATCTGAAATTTTTTGGTGATTTTACTCACACAAAGATGTTAAATATTGAATTTCAGGTCATCACAATACAGTTTATCATGAAAAATGGCTTCTATTCACAGCACTCGCTATGATAAATCAGATTTAATTTATTAAAAAAAATATTTAAAAAAATAAATAAATGAATAAATAAATAAATTTAAAAAAAAATAATTTGAGACAACATTCCGTAATGGTCGTTAATTTCCGTACTAGTTGGCAGCTCTGCTACACGTACACCAATTAAACAATTGATATATTAAATCATATCGAACTATAATTCCTACCCAAGCTATATCCTTCCTATTCTACAAACACATTCTGAATAATTAAAGTAAAAATGACTTGTGACACATTATATGCAATCTTGTTCCTTTTTTACATAGACTCAAAATATAACAATTCTTCCTCAAAATAATATTTTAAAAAATTAAATCGAGGAGCTACATTTCGTTCATCGTCATTTTAGCGGCAGTTTTATGCACATTTTCCAAAGTCATTTGCATAAGAAAATATACGTATAAATCGAAATTCCTACATTCTCCCCGCTTGGAAACCTTTGCCCATAAAAGACCAAAGTCGTTTGCATAATAAAAATATACGGACAAAATCCAAATTCCAACATCAGTATCTGAGACAACATTCCGTAATGGTCGTTAATTTCCGTACTAGTTGGCAGCTCTGCTACATGTACACCAATTAAACAATTGATATATTAAATCATATCGAACTATAATTCCTACCCAAGCTATATCCTTCCTATTCTACAAACACATTCTGAATAATTAAAGTAAAAATGACTTGTGACACATATTATATGCAATCTTGTTCCTTTTTTTACATAGACTCAAAATATAACAATTCTTCCTCAAAATAATATTTTAAAAAATTAAATCGAGGAGCTACATTTCGTTCACCGTCATTTTAGCGGCAGTTTTATGCACATTTTCCAAAGTCATTTGCATAAGAAAATATACGTATAAATCGAAATTCCTACATTCTCCCCGCTTGGAAACCTTTGCCCATAAAAGACCAAAGTCGTTTGCATAATAAAAATATACGGACAAAATCCAAATTCCAACATCAGTATCTGAGACAACATTCCGTAATGGTCGTTAATTTCCGTACTAGTTGGCAGCTCTGCTACATGTACACCAATTAAACAATTGATATATTAAATCATATCGAACTATAATTCCTACCCAAGCTATATCCTTCCTATTCTACAAACACATTCTGAATAATTAAAGTAAAAATGACTTGTGACACATATTATATGCAATCTTGTTCCTTTTTTTACATAGACTCAAAATATAACAATTCTTCCTCAAAATAATATTTTAAAAAATTAAATCGAGGAGCTACATTTCGTTCACCGTCATTTTAGCGGCAGTTTTATGCACATTTTCCAAAGTCATTTGCATAAGAAAATATACGTATAAATCGAAATTCCTACATTTTCCCCGCTTGGAAACCTTTGCCCACAAAAGACCAAAGTCGTTTGCATAATAAAAATATACGGACAAAATCCAAATTCCTACATCAGTATCCACACCATAAGTGACCATAAAATAACTAATCCGTGAAAGTTTAACTTCAATCAATCATTGGAATCACAAGAAAAAAGTGAAATAAATGCCTAAATGTTTTCACCTTTACCAAACATTGAGTTTTGATCCAATTGTTTTACTCAATTCTCAAAAACTATTGCATTTCAAGCAAAAATATTTCAAGGGAAGTTTCCCACAATGATACCATTTGCGTTGTGTGCAATCTGTGCACAAAATATTTTTACCCTAATTACCAGCAATGTTATGCACACCCTTTAACAATTGGTGGAGTACTTGGCAGCGCAGGCTGTACTGCCAAGGATGCCGAGATATGGTTAAAGGAATGAATTAAATGGCCCAGTGACCATGCAGGGGTAATAATGTTTGAGCATCACTGAGTGGTAAATTGAGCACTGTATTAGAACCATTGTTTTTGATCATTGGTGAAACTATTACCAAAAAGTTTGATGACAAACATTTTTTGTTAATTACAAAAACAAGGTGTTTGTGGAGAGCGATTGAATTAATAGGTAACAACATTACACTTTATCAATCCAATGCATATAGTTCAGGAGTTATTAATACTTTAAAATTTAAACATCATAAATTTCCGGTTTAGATCGGTAGCCAAAAGGTAAAAAAAGAGTCACAGTTTGTGTAGCGCGAGGAGGCGCGATAGCTCAGTTGGTAGAGCAGTGGTTTCGTAATCCGGTAACCCGGGTTCGAAACCAAGACGATGCGCTATATAGTGCCCTTTGGTAAGGCATTAATCCTCACTACCAGTCCCTCGGAGAGGATCTAAATCCGTCGGCCGTCTGGTTATTTATGCTTTCTTAGCAGTCACAGGTTAAATAACCATCACATCACATATTAGTTTATGAAAACATTCTAGATGATGTATGGATTACATCCAATATGTGGTTCAACAGTAATAAATGTTTTCAAATATAAAGTTTCAACTAACAGTTTCTACCAAAGTCAATGTCAATTGAGGTCACACTTTATAGCTTTGGTTAAGTTACAAAAGTTTTAACTGACTGTGGTTTAGGATTATGATTTTTTCCTTTGCCTAGATGTCAAATGTAGACAATTTCCAGCCATTCTGACATCTCAACTTGCCCTGGACAAAAAGGTTGTCACCCTCATGGAACCCAGGACGGCAGGAAACAGTTCAAGCTACCTGAGGCAGAGTTTGGAGGAAATTCACAGGGAGGAGTGGGGAAGACGTGCCCTTCAATATCTGTCTGATTGTGAACTTCACAAAAGAGGAAGCAGGCTTGTGACTACTGTCACTGTCTATAGACCACCTCCAGCTTATCGTCCAGTTCCTCTTGCACAGTGGTTTGAGACGGCTCATGGCAATGAGATTGTCCAGCATGTGCAGGAGATGCAAGGGGTCATCACCTCCACCTAAATATGGGAGGATTCTCAAGTTGGACTCCACCAAGAAAATAACAAAGAAGCTGGCCGGTGGCATTGATGGCACTGCCGCCTGGATGTCAAATGTAGGCAACGAGTATGGCGCAATCTTGAACAGCGTTTTGACCACAGGAGAGGGGGCCGCACAGTGGGCCAGGGAGGAACCAAAGTGCGCCAAAACTCATGTTTGGGGATTTATTTTTAATAAATCCAGAGGAAATGTTTGGACTTCCAGGGATTTTCGGTTAAATTTTATTACCAACATTTTCTCTGATGTCAGCTTTAAGTTGATACCAGATTTCGCAGCCCGATTATGCCCGTTATTATGTTAGAGCCGTTTTCCTTGCAACATTGCCCCGAAAATGTGTTTATTTTGGTCCGTGCTGTCAGAACAAGTGTCACGCGCCCCCTCGCGCCGTGATTTATGACCACGAATCCTTCATGATTCAGCCGCGGACCAAAAAAACCCACATTTTTCGGGGCAATGTGGCAAGGGAAATCGGCTCTAACATAACAACGGGCAAGATCATCAGGCAGCCAAATTTGGTATCAACTTAAAGCTTAGACATCAGAGGTTATGGTGGTATTAATATTTAACCAGTACACTGTGGAGAACTAAACATTTCTTCTGAATTTATAAAAAACATGGATAATTAGTCCATTTTTCAGTGAATTACCCTATAATATGTCATGAAGATTGTGTTTCTATTAATTTTGACCCATTCATTCAACGGAATGAACTATCAGGAATATGTGAGAGCAATTTCATATCAATAACTTAAAAACTTCATTTTGAATTGAAAGAATTAAACTGTGAATATGTAGGATTTTGCTGTTTGAAGTAGTAAATTTATACCCTTATTGTGCATACCGGAATTAAATATTTCACTGAGGTATTCCTTTATGTATTACCTTTCAACTGGGCAAGAAAAAAATTGGAAAAAAAAAATCACCCAAACTTAGTTTTGGCGCACTTTGGTTCCTCCCTGGCCCACTGTGGGCCGGTTTGAAAGAGATGTGCCAAGGTATCGTAAAAAGATACAAAGATGCCGGTGAGCCAGAGCCCAATGTCATATATGTGGATAGAGATTGCTGCAATAGATCTGGAGAGCCCCCTGCTCATGTGTTGTTCCATCCCTGGAAATTTGAGGTGAAGCTGGATATTTTCCATTTCATGAGGCGTTTTTCTCCAGGCCTACAGAGCACCATTCTCTCTATGGTACATTCTGCTCGAGGCTTTCCAGCGCAATCTTCGAGTGGGATGAGGATAACATTGGGCAACTCAAAAAAGCAAAAAGATCGCAGCTTAGAAAGGAGTTTGGCGGCCATGAGCCTACTGAAAAACAGGTTTCAGCAAACATCTCAACTGCGGAGCTGGCCAAACACTGCAAGAGGAGAACTCGCGGAGTTGAAACGACACGCCGCTCCATCCAGAAACTCGATCCTGGATGCAACGCGGACCTCACAGAAACCACTGGCCTGCGCCTCATCAATGCTGACAGCACGACACATATTTGGGAGGTCGAGCAGAAGCACCTTCCCTGCATCCAAGATGTGCTAGGATTGAAGCTATATACAAAGGCTTTCCTTAACTTAACAAGCTGTGCTTCAACCAAGGTCTCCTCGTCTTTCTCTATTCTACATTGTACTGTTATGATTATACTCTATTATATTTTGTCACATGTGTTTTCTGGAAGACAAATAAACTTGATACTTGATACTTTCCAGCGCAATCTTCGAGTGGGATGAGGATGACATTGGGCATGCAACTCCAAAAAGCAAAAAGAGAACAGCTTAAAAAGGAGTTCGGTGGCCATGAGCATGGGTGTAAATCCTTACGTAATACCTATTGTTAAGGGGGGGATGAATGAATAGATCATCCCCCCCTGAACAATAGGTATCAATTGCAGATTTACGCCCATGGCCATGAGCCCACTGAGAAAAAAGTTTCAGCCAACATCTCAACTGCTGAGTTGAAAGGAAGAAAGTTTTAACTGACTGTGGTTTAGGATTATGATTTTTTCCTTTGCCTGTATGTAAAATGTAGACAACGAGTATGGCGTAATCTTAAACAGCATTTTGACTACAGGAGAGGGGGCCAGTTTGAAAGAGATGTGCCAAGGTATCGTAAAAAGATATAAGGATGCCGGTGAGCCAGAGCCCATTATACAACGCCTACTAAGATTCTTGCAACCTCATAATTGGTCAATTCTTGATCACATGACATGCGCTAAAAGTACCATTGAACGGCATCATTCTCCAGCCGTGCAATTCCGTTTGATCCTTTCGCACCATTGCACTCTGACGTCACTAACGATGTACAAAGTATATTGTGAGCTAAGTGACGTCAGAGTGCAATGGTGCGAAAGGATGAAACGAAATTGCACTCTGCGTAACAATAAACATATAAAGCATGATACGCCCATTGTTTGCTGCCTGCTTAATAATAGTGCGCGCTCACTATCGACAATTTCATTCAAAAAAGAAACAAAATCTCTGAGATTTAGGCTTAGAAAAACTGTTCTTTAAACAAAAACTATTTAAATCTTGTTAACTTCCGAGGTGTTGTATAAAACAAATAGTGAATGGTCTTTTGTGCAATGGAACAATATTTTGCATTCAGTGAAAGATGAGACGCTCCATTCAACTCGGCTGCGCCTCGTTACCGTCTCTTATCTTTCACCTCGTGCAAAATCTTGTACCATTGCACTCATGGCCATTCACTATTTGTATAATGTCATTTATGTGGATAGAGATTGCTGCAATAGATCTGGAGAGCCCCCTGCTCATGTGTTGTTCCATCCCTGGAAATTTGAGGTGAAGCTGGATATTTTCCATTTCACGAGGCGTCTTTCTCCAGGCCTCACCTCTCTATTCAGAGCTGCCAACCTTTGGAAGTACAAATTAGTACTCAGCACCTCCAAAATTAGTATTTTACCATCAAAATTAGTATTTTTCAACTGGCCTTCCTTTCACCTATTAAAAACCTATTGATGTCGTAACGCAGCGCAAATGCATACCGTGAAGACCATATTTTTGCTGTAATTAGTTTTTTTAAAACATATTGTACATGTAATTGGCTGGGCCAGTAAAATTTCAGAAAAATGTGATACTGGTATACGTACGGTCAATTAAAATGTTTGCTCTTTCATTAAAATTTTAAAAGAAAATTGTAAATCAAAGTTTTTGTTGGGGTAATGGGAATTCACTTGTACATGTTTCTATGCGATTCCGTGGTTTTTATGTGTTTAAAAAAAATATTTTTAAAAAAAATATATAGAATTTTTTTTTTTTTTTGGGGGGGGGGGGGGGGGGGGGTGAAAATCGTTTTTAAAAGGTTATATCATATTATCATATTCCACTCTTATTATCGTACTAAATATGATTAAATCGTACTGGTTGGCACCTCTGTATGGTACATTGTGCTCGAGGCTTTCCAGCGCAATCTTCGAATGGGATGAGGATGACATTGCTGGGCAATTCCGAAAAGTAAAAAGAGAACAGCTTAGAAAGGAGTTTGGTGGCCATGAGCCTACTGAGAAAAAAGTTTCAGCCAACATCTCAACTGCGGAGCTGGCAAAAAACACTGCAAGAGGAGAACTTGCGGAGTTGAAACGACACGCCACTCCATCCAGAAACTCCTGGATGCAATGTGGGACCTCACAGATACCACTGGCCTGCGCCTCATCAATGCTGACAGCATGACACATATTTGGGAGGTCGAGCAGAAGCACCTTCCCTGCATCCAAGATGTGCCAGGATTGAAGCTTTATACAAAGGTGGGCACAACAGAAAAAGGAGATGAGGTGCTGGATGTACTGAGGTGTGGACGGGGCTCTTCATCCCTCGAAAGTTTCCATCGACACCAGTGCAATTTTATACCAGGTGAGAATCAGATATACATACATGCCAACATTTGAAAATCAGAAATCTGTACAAATTATGCTATTTAAAAAAAAAAAAGAGGAACAATCCTAACTCTCCTATTCAATACTACAGACAAATTTGTACAGGAAGAGGAATACCTGCATTAAAATGATAATTATCTTCTCCCAAAAAGAGGAATGTTCCTCTTTAATCTGAACAGTTGGCAGGTATGGATATACATGTTATCCTATCAATTTATTTATCTGTTATACTTTTTCCAAAAGTCTTGGGGACTAAACTGATTGAAGAGCTCACTCCTGGAAAATCCACAGGTAGGCTTACAAGACACAAACGGTTACAAACGCTTTTTAAAGACCAACCCGCCCGATCCAGGGCAACGTGTCCCTTTAAATTTGACTTTCTACAAAACTTCAACAGTTACATTATTTGTTTTTTGTATATCTGCACCATAAATGTATTTGTTCCCTCACTAGTTCTGGTACCGGTTTCAAGTACTGGTGTTGCTACAAGCTTGTAGCAACAAGACAAGGTAGAAAAGAAACCACTTTCTATTTCCTTTATTTTAGGTGAATAATTCCCTAAAAAACAGAAGAGGGTGAGGAAAGAAGATCTATTTCTTTAGTGAACTCCTCCACTCGTCAACACTCTGTCCCGAGGCGGGGCAGTACCACTTACCCTTATATTGGGTGTGGCCAGTATCTTTGGTTTTAGGCTCTTGGCACTGAGAACAGGTATACCATTCTTTACGTTTGGAATGTCTTTTTTTTGGTGCCTCACCCCTCGCCACTCTCTCCTCATCCTCCTTGAGAGCTTTCTCTCTCCTCCAACTTCTCTGCCGGGATTGTGGCATCTGGCTTGATGGGGAAGGAGCTTCCTGTTCCTCCTGAAGATGGGGAGAAGAAACAGGCCACGACTGAGGTCCGTACCAGCTGAAATGACCAGGCTGCATACCTGGCCAGGCACCTGTAGTTGGGCAGGAGGGGATGGGTGGGAAAGGAGGGGGCATCATGGTCGGAGGAAAGGGCATGGTTGAATATAAGGAAAACGGTGTATCCTCCTTTCCTGTTCGCCGTTTTTTTCTTGGTCTTACGGCAGTTTGATGGCCTTCCCTGTTTGGGGGTTCGTCAAACTCCATCGGGGCTGCATGCCGCAATGGCTCCCTCGGTCGCTGCCGTGGAAGGGGTAGTGGGCCGTCCACTGCCAGGGAAACAGTGTCCCCCAGATCCACCCCCTGCAGTAGAGAATCCCGGTTGGCCTTCTCCTGTCGCTTGAGTAACCTGGAAGAAAAGTCAATATTTTGTTTAAAAAGCTGTGTATTTTTGTATGTGCAAACTGAGAAGTTGAATTTCATGCTTGAATAACATTACAGTAAGGAATTGAATTGCATCCTTGATTTTTAATTTTGTGTAAAAAAAGTCAGACTTCTTTTTAATAAAGGTGCTTTTTTGTAGTTTGTGTAAATAAATTTATCAATGCCAGTTGTTGAATGGCAAATTGTTTTTAATAAATGAGAATAAATCATTTGTTTTTTAATCCTTACTTTTTTTTAAATTTACAAATTAATAATTTCAATCTCTTCAAATCAATTTGGTTAATCGACCGTGCACCCACTTTCATCAGTACCAAAGTTTACTCAAAAAAGAAAACAGACAAATTGTGGAATCCCATGCAGGCTCCATGGTTTCTTAGAAGATCGAGAGCCCAGTGAAAAAAAGGTGGGAACCAGAAAATGCTGCTTAGCAAATTTCTTTTCAAAGCAAACATTGAACAGGAGGATCAGTCATGACAATGCAAACTTTACAAAATTGTACCTAGTTAGCTGCTGCTAATTTAGATTTGTCTGTGTTTATATAACACTGTTTTGTGCTCACAAATGTTATGAAATTGGGCCGTGTTCACATACTATGTAGGTTCCCTATATTACATGTATTACAACAAAGTTATCTCACCACGTAGAAACTGTTGTGTTGCTGATGGTGACCATCACCAAGTTGGTCTGCTCTCGGATGTCTGTGCTGTCCACTAGCAGCTGCTGGATATGGGAGTAGGTCTGGACGATAGTCTGCGGAATGGGAAGTGTCTTGCCCTCGAAGTCCTTCGGCCTGTTTCGCACTTGGCAGAACTCCTTGTAAAGACGTAGACAGACGCACTCAGAGACTCGGTTGGTGTCGGGTCGCTGTGCTGCCTGGCCATGAGTCATGTATAACCTGAAAACCAAATATGTTTTGACTTTTTAGAAAAATGTGTGTATATGCAGGTGTTGTTAAGTACAACATGACAACTCACTCAAAATTTGTTTACTTTTTGATAGTTTATATCTTTCATGAAACATAAAATAGAGGGTATATGTGGACGGTCACAAATGTTTTTTATTCAAATTAAGGCATTCAAAACAGGCAATGACTTTCGAGGTTCACAACACGGGTAAAATTGTTAATAATTCAGTCTCCATTTCATAGTGATTTAAGTTATAAAGATATGTTTTTAGGGTCAAATTTACCTCTCCGCTGCCTGCTGACCAGGAGCTGATCCACTTCGTTTTTTGGGGGCTCTCCATCGTCCTGTCAGCTGCTTCTTCTTGGTTTTCATGCTGTATTTAGTTGCTGACTTGTCCAGTTGGTCCAGCTTTGAATACAGTCGCACAATCTCAGCAGCCTCTGTGGTTGACAATGCAGTAATGGTGCGATTGAGAGTGACAAGGTAGCCAGCCAGTCTGTCAACTGCCTCCCACCCTGGGATACCTCGCGCATCACATCGGCTGTCCTGGAAATCGAAATGGGGGAAATGTGTATAAACAAATTAAGATAAATGATAGTTTTCCGAGCAACTAAACTTCAAAATGTTGATGGGGGTGAGGGGAGGAGGATGGGGAGGAAAAAACACTGAGGGTTCACAATTGAATTAACTCCCATGCAGGAATAGAGCGAGATAGAGGTTTATATAGTAGGGGGAGAGGGCCGGGAGGGTTCTCTGGTCTCAAGCACTCTATTCCACGTCCTATGATAAAATCCCATGATGTCCGCCTGCCATATAAAAAAAAAAAACGTCAACAACAAAAGCAACCAAATAATAGATGTGCACATAAATTTACGTTTTGATATCAAGAATTAGCCCTTTTTCCTTTACTGTCGGATCTTAATTGTTACTTACAGGAGTGGCGCGTGGTGATGAGGGATCACTGTCAATGTCGCTGGACGGAAACTGAATGGCTGGTGGTATTTGTTGTGCAGATGAATCCTCATCTGTTGAGCCCCCCTCTGCCTCCAGTGTAGGCGATCTAAACATTAATATGCAACAATATTAAAACACGTTATTTTCAACAATTTTAATTGGCCTATATGAGAATTCCCAGAGGAAACAAATTTAGAACCTAATTATTCAGAAAACATATTGGCACGCCAGATGCTTTTATCGACCAGTCGTTACTGGTCGCAATGTCTGAATACTATGTTGGATAATTAGTGACATACACTCATGGCTCAAAGTCGTTTTCTCTTTTGTAAAAGGCATCTCGGTGAGAAAAATAAGTTTCAGTTGGAACATTTCAAGGACACCAAGGGTGACCATGCAGGAGCAACAAAGGTGATTATCTTTATTGCCTCCATGCAGTATAAGTCTTGTTATGGTAAACATGTACTCAAGTATGCAAGCATTCCAGGTGTCTGTGCAACTTGTGTAAAGGGCTATTATACCTATCTGGTACGTTAACGTCAGCTGATTGGCACACAGTGGCATCAATTGTCTCTTCCTCGTTGACCTCCTCGATTCCAAACTCCTCGTCTAGCTGTGCCTCAGATTGAAGGTCTCCCTTGCCAGACTGGGCGAGCAGATATTCGACAGCTATACGCTCACCTGTAACAGTATTCATCAAAACAAGAAACTGAAAATTTATTACTGATCATTTCAAAGTGGAAAAACATGGAAGCTAGCTATCTTGTCTTATCTGGCATGTAAAGTAGTTCTTTCTCTTCAGTGATGGCAGTATCTTTTATTATATAGTTTATTTAAAGTAATGCCTCAATGCATGATGATGAACTTACGAGGCGCTTAATAAAAACTAAATAAAATAATCGCTTAGGACTTTAAATGGAGAACAAAATGTTGATTTTGTAAACCATACAATCAGCGAAGAATTGTGAACAATTTTAGAATTAAATCTGCGCTCAGTTGTTTGATTGAGTCGTCCAAAAGGTAAAGCAAAGAAAGACGAATGTAGTAAAGTGAAAATTAGTACATTATGTATGACCTTAATTTTTTTTTTTAATTTTGGACAGCCCCTAAGAATTGGTATGTGTCTTGTAAGCCTACCTGTGGATTTTCCAGGAGGAGTGAACTCTTCGATCAGTTTAGTCCCCAAGACTTTCATGCTGGAGCTGTTAATGCCAGACATCAAACGCACATCAAACATTGATGTCCCTGATGTGCTCCCCATGTCCACCCGATCACGTCCTCTGTTCAAGTTCCATCGAGAAAGTCCTTCCAGCATGTACATCTGTGTGTGCAGTGCATTACACCTGTAGCCTGATGAATAAATTAATATCAAAGTATAAGTAATTATTAGAAGTTAAAGATAAAGACCAGTTATGGTCATGCAATTGCATTGTGAAAGAAACGTTGTGGAATCGATCAGAAAAGGTTGATCATCTAGCATATAAGTATTGGTGTGTACTGCAAGGTTCTAGAATCATCAAAATGATAAGAAATTTGACCCAGTCTTCGTAAAGTTACAATCACTGTACACAGAAAGATGTATATGGGACTACGCACACGTGGACGACACGTGCATTTATCTCTCACACATCAATAGATAAACTAATTTACCAAATATATCAGTAGGCGGTTTCCCGGCAAAAATTTTATCATCATGTATTAGTCAAAACATATTCTTTCACATGATTGGTAATAGAGCTTCCATTTCATTTCTTTGAATTGGGGCGTTTCCAATACTGGTCTTTACCTTTAACCCATGAAAGTCCAAACTATTATCAAGTTTTGGAAAAAGTATAACAGACAAATAAATTGATAGGATAACATGTATATCTGATTCTCACCTGGTATAAAATTGCACTGGTGTCGATGGAAACTTTCGAGGGATGAAGAGCCCCGTCCACACCTCAGTACATCCAGCACCTCATCTCCTTTTTCTGTTGTGCCCACCTTTGTATAAAGCTTCAATCCTGGCACATCTTGGATGCAGGGAAGGTGCTTCTGCTCGACCTCCCAAATATGTGTCATGCTGTCAGCATTGATGAGGCGCAGGCCAGTGGTATCTGTGAGGTCCCACATTGCATCCAGGAGTTTCTGGATGGAGTGGCGTGTCGTTTCAACTCCGCGGGTTCTCCTCTTGCAGTGTTTGGCCAGCTCCGCAGTTGAGATGTTTGCTGCAACCTGTTTTTCAGTAGGCTCATGGCCGCCAAACTCCTTTCTAAGTTGCGATCTTTTTGCTTTTTTGAGTTGCCCAATGTCATCCTCATCCCACTCGAAGATTGCGCTGGAAAGCCTCGAGCAGAATGTACCATAGAGAGAATGGTGCTCTGTTGTGAGGCCTGGAGAAAAACGCCTCATGAAATGGAAAATATCCAGCTTCACCTCAAATTTCCAGGGATGGAACAACACATGAGCAGGGGGCTCTCCAGATCTATTGCAGCAATCTCTATCCACATATATAACATTGGGCTCTGGCTCACCGGCATCTTTGTATCTTTTTACGATACCTTGGCACATCTCTTTCAAACCGGCCCCCTCTCCTGTGGTCAAAACGCTGTTCAAGATTGCGCCATACTCGTTGCCTACGTTTGACATCCAGGCAGCAGTGCCATCAATGCCACCGGCCAGCTTCTTTGTTATTTTCTTGGTGGAGTCCAACTTGAGAATCCTTCCATAGGTGGAGGTGATGACCCCTTGCATCTCCTGCACATGCTGGACAATCTCATTGCCATGAGCCGTCTCAAACCACTGTGCAAGAGGAACTGGACGATAAGCTGGAGGTGGTCTATAGACAGTGACAGTAGTCACAAGCCTGCTTCCTCTTTTGTGAAGTTCACAATCAGACAGATATTGAAGGGCACGTCTTCCCCACTCCTCACTGTGAATTTCCTCCAAACTCTGCCTCAGGTAGCTTGAACTGTTTCCTGCCGTCCTGGGTTTCATGAGGGTGACAACCTTTTTGTCCAGGGCAAGTTGAGATGTCAAAATGGCTGGAAATTGGCCGCGGTGGGCAGGGTCTAATTGGTTGAGCAAATGTGAGCTCCATGGGCACTGAGGCAACCTGCATGCTTTACACTTGATGTACTCACCAACCATGTAGTACCTCCAGTTGATGTCAATGACCTCTCTTATCTTGGTGTAAATTCCCCCATGGGACATTTTGCCACTGCATGCTGGACATTTAAAAGAAATACCCCACATCCGCATTGGTGCCCAAATAAACAACTTCTGTCTGAAGTAGCTGTGTGGATCAGGAGGTGATGCAGTTGGCTTAACTGGAGGAGGCGGACTGAACCAATTCTGAGGGAAGTTATCCCTAAATTTCCCTCGACTATCATAAAGGCACCGTGCCACCCACATGAGATCCCCTCTTTGCAGCACACTCCTAAACTGCTTGGGCAAGAATGAGCTCACAAGTTGAGGTTGAGCTGATTGAAGTGGTGCTGGCTGAGGTGATGCTGACCGAGGTGGTGCTGGCTGAGGTGAAGGCCGTGACCGAGGTGGGGCTGGCTGAGGTGGAGGTGACCGAGGTGGGGCTGGCTGAGGTGAAGGCCGTGACCAAGTTGGTGCTGGCTGAGGTGGAGGTGACCGAGGTGTTGCTGGCTGAGGTGAAGGCCGTGACCGAAGTGGTGCTGGCTGAGGTGAAGGCCGTGACCGAGGTAGGGCTGGCCGAGGTGGAGGTGACAGAGGTAATTGAGCCGAGGTGATTGGCCGAGGATTATGCATAGCCTCAACATGCTGTGCAAGTCCCACCTCTCCCCTTACCTTCCTCCCGCACTGCTCGCAAGTGATCTGAGCATGGTACACGGCTAAGTGCTCGTTGAATTCTTCAACTGCCAGCCATTGTTTGCACTGGCCACACTGAAGATCCCCCGGATTTGGTTGCTGTTTTAGTGGTGCCGTTTGAGGTGGAGCGGGTTGAGGGGAAGCTGACCGATGTGGGGCTGGCTGAGGTGAAGGCCGTGACCAAATTGGTGCTGGCTGAGGTGGAGGTGACAAAGGTGTTGCTGGCTGAGGTGAAGGCCGTGACCAAGTTGGTGCTGGCTGAGGTGGAGGTGACCAAGGTGGGGCTGGCTGAGGTGAAGGCCGTGACCAAGTTGGTGCTGACTGAGGTGGAGGTGACCGAGGTGGTGCTGGCTGAGGTGAAGGCCGTGACCAAGTTGGTGCTGGCTGAGGTGGAGTGCTAATACTTGAAGCAGCTTGCCCCTGAGTAGCTGTGCTCTCTGAACTAGTGGCTTGCTCTGGCTGCGATGGCTCATCCTGCGTTAAGATTATGAAAATGAACTTTTAGGCAACCTGTCATTGAATTATCAAATTTGTTTTAAGAGTTTAATTTAACATCCCTGTTAATTTTGTACCAAAAAGTTTTTTAATATTAAGAATGAATGGAAAGACCTTTTTAATTCCACATTCACACTCCACACAAACAATTTTCAAAACAGTAAGTTTTAAAGGACTAAGATACAAAGCATGTGATTGTAGAATGTTCTGTTATCAAATGAAATGAATGAAGCTAAATAGTGTTTGCTGTAAAAGATACTACTAGGCAGTTTTACCTTGAGGCCCTTGATTTTGTGGAGGGAAAATTCCCAGTGAAAGCACCAATATTAATCGAGTATTGAAATTAATGTTGATGTTTCAATCCTTCATTATTATGACAATGAACCCCTCTTGATATTCGTACATTAACTACAGAATCATAACAATTTTAAAGCCTTTGTTGCATTTAAATTATGCTAAACCATGTTTGGAAACTTTTTTTTCTCCAAAATATTGTTCAAAAGCACTCATTAAATGAGTTGATGATACTTTTTACATTTAATTTTTGATGTTTAATATACAATGTACATTAAGCAAAATTTATTTCATTTAGTAATTCATCTTGTCTTTTTTTGCGACTCAACTTTTGGACTCGTCACAAAATGGACTATGTAGCCCCAACCATTATTTGATTTATGGCCACTACTTTCTGTAACATACCTGCTGTTTTTGATGTTTAATATACAATGTACATTAAGCAAAATTTATTTCATTTAGTAATTCATCGTCTTTTTTTGCGACTCAACTTTTGGACTCGTCACAAAATGGACTATGTAGCCCCAACCATTATTTGATTTATGGCCACTACTTTCTGTAACATACCTGCTGTTTTAGTGGTGCTGGCTGAGGTGGAGGTGAATGAGGTGGTGCTGGCCGGGGTGAAGGCCGTGACCAAGGTGGGGCTGGCTGAGGTGAAGGCCGTGACCAAGTTGGTGCTGACTGAGGTGGAGGTGACCGAGGTGGTGCTGGCTGAGGTGAAGGCCGTGACCAAGTTGGTGCTGGCTGAGGTGGAGTGCTAATACTTGAAGCAGCTTGCCCCTGAGTAGCTGTGCTCTCCGAACTAGTGGCTTGCTCTGGCTGCGATGGCTCATCCTGCGTTAAGATTATGAAAATGAACTTTTAGGCAACCTGTCATTGAATTATCAAATTTGTTTTTAAGAGTTTAATTTAACATCCCTGTTAATTTTGTACCAAAAAGTTTTTTAATATTAAGAATGAATGGAAAGACCTTTTTAATTCCACATTCACACTCCACACAAACAATTTTCAAAACAATAAGTTTTAAAGGACTAAGATACAAAGCATGTGATTGTAGAATGTTCTGTTATCAAATGAAATGAATGAAGCTAAATAGTGTTTGCTGTAAAAGATACTACTAGGCAGTTTTACCTTGAGGCCCTTGATTTTGTGGAGGGAAAATTCCCAGTGAAAGCACCAATATTAATCGAGTATTGAAATTAATGTTGATGTTTCAATCCTTCATTATTATGACAATGAACCCCTCTTGATATTCATACATTAACTACAGAATCATAACAATTTTAAAGCCTTTGTTGCATTTAAATTATGCTAAACCATGTTTGGAAACTTTTTTTTTCTCCAAAATATTGTTCAAAAGCACTCATTAAATGAGTTGATGATACTTTTTACATTTAATTTTTGATGTTTAATATACAATGTACATTAAGCAAAATTTATTTCATTTAGTAATTCATCTTGTCTTTTTTTGCGACTCAACTTTTGGACTCGTCACAAAATGGACTATGTAGCCCCAACCATTATTTGATTTATGGCCACTACTTTCTGTAACATACCTGCTGCTTTTGATGTTTAATATACAATGTACATTAAGCAAAATTTATTTCATTTAGTAATTCATCGTCTTTTTTTGCGACTCAACTTTTGGACTCGTCACAAAATGGACTATGTAGCCCCAACCATTATTTGATTTATGGCCACTACTTTCTGTAACATACCTGCTGTTTTAGTGGTGCTGGCTGAGGTGGAGGTGAATGAGGTGGTGCTGGCCGGGGTGAAGGCCGTGACCAAG